TTGTTGGGCTTCTAAGAGTGATATTTTAATCGGACATGACTTTATTACTATACTTTTTTCTAGGTTGGGTGGGAAAAGCACTAGGAAGGCAGGGTAGCAATACAGCTAGTAGGCATCACTGATGTTGCTTTTGACTACCACGGTAATTTCAAACTGGGAAATCTTAAAAAATGGAGCAGAAAATGGCATGAAACAGATACTGAATTTCTGTTTCAGGGCCCCGATGTCATCCATGCATTCTGTCTTCTACACAAAATCCTGTTTCCTCCTGTGTCTGCTGTGACTACTATTTACTTTGTTTCAGCTCGATGGGTCTGATGTTAAATACTGCTGTTAAAACTCCCACACTTCAGTCATCTGTGCCATGTGGGAAGGCAGCTTCTCTGGCATCTTTTGAATGGAAGAGAAGTGCTTCTGCTGAGCTGTGACATAAACAATGTAAATGTGCGTATGTGCATTAAAATATGTCTTGGTCCTTCTTTGTCAGGTCTGTGTGTGTGTGTAATTGTAGGGAGGGAGGACTCTTGCCTTCTGTTCTCCCTTCCACGTCCTGTTGTGAAGGCTGTCCTTTGTCAATGAGATGACTTCCTGTAACTCCAGAATGCAGCACCACTCATCCACATGTATCAAAACTTGAAGCCTTGAATCCTCCAGCAGTCACAGCTCAGGTAACACAGCCCAGGATTCCAGCCCCTGCCTGTCCCTATGACTGCAGGCCCAAGGGAAGGCCATGCACTGCCTTTTTTTTAGCATTTCATTTTGCTTCACAAAAATTTTGTCTTGTCTCATTTCGTTCACCAAAACCAGTAAGTGCATGTTTCACAGCCTTTGGAGAACATTACCTGGAACAAGAAAGTAACAGGCGGCTCCAGGCTCTTGAGAATAGAGACCTTTCAGCCTCCTCTAGGTCCCTACAAGGGCTCAGCAGCCAGCAGGGTGCCTGGCTTGTCCTGAAGGAAAGAGATTACAGTAAGCCTTCTGAGCCCTGCAGCCCTGTATCCTGACCACTCTGTTGTCCACCTGATGTTAAACGTCCTGATGCCATCAGAGCAAAGGGCAGCCACCGACCACCTGCCTGCAGAATGCTCTTTTAGGAAGGTCACTGTGACCCATTCCTCTGGTCTCATTCATGGTTGCTGTTTCCTTTGTGATGGGCTGGTTGCAGCAGAAATTATTGCAGGGCTCAAGGATCCTTGTTCTTCCTGCTCGGTGCTCTCATTACCCAGCTGGATCCAACACCACCTGTGTGAAAATTAGTCATGCCTGCCTTTTGGCAACATTTTAAAAAAACGTTTTCCCTTTCAGAATCCTGCTTCTGAGTTCATTCCTGGAGCCCAAGCCCACTCGAACCCTGAAGAGAGATTGACATGGCTTTGATCGTGAGCTAGGGAACATGTTTTAGCAGTCCTGAGTCTAAACTGAAAGATGGGACAATTGGCCAAAGCTTAATAAACATCAACCCAGAACCCTAAGCTGAAATAATTCATGTGCTCCTAGTACTTTTACATCAGGTTAGCCAAAGCTAAACATCAACCTGATACCCTAAACTGAAATAATTCACGTGCTCATAGTAGCGTGTCACTCAGCGTCAGAGGGTCTGTGTTGAAAGGTATAATCCATCTGTTCCTGTTCTGAAAGCATTGCGCTGCTGAACTAAACAGGGGTGGGGTCACTCACTGCACATGAGACAATTAGTGAGAACTGTCATTGTGCTCTGCTACCCCACATCCTTGTCCATACAGTGCACAGGGAAGTGCTCATGTGTGCATAGTGGTGAATGGTGTCATAACCACAGGCTGTTTGGGTCTACCCTACATCCATCTCTTCTCCTGGCATCACAATTTGGCTCAATTTGTGGCCTTCCTGAAATTCCACATAGTCAGGTAATTCAGGGTCTGGGCATATAATCATGTGTAGTCAATCTCATCTTTCCATACAGAGCAGCTGGTCTGGATTCAAACAGCCTGCCTTTGGGTTGGCAGAACGTCTCCTTATCCACTAGGTCACCAGATTAGCAAATAATTCTTTGCAATGCACATTCAACCCCTTTAGAATCCGTTTGCTAAAGAAAAAAACAGGCTCTTATATAATTTGAAGAAGACAACTTTTAAAAGAAAGTAGTAAATGCTCACAAATCAATCTAATAGTAGATGTTTACGTGGTTGACTTAAAACAAAACAAAAAGCTTGCAGGATATGTTTTGGACTAGGATGAAATTTATCCCAAGTGGCAATGCCTCTACCCAAACCCACTGCTCTAAGATTGATTCTGACTCAAAATTTCTCTATAGGACAGAGGGGACATAGTTTGCATTGCTGTGAATCTATGGATGCAGACTGCCCCAACTTTCTCTCATGGAGCTACTGTTGCATTCAAACTGCTGACCTCGGCTTAGCAGTCAAACACTCTAACCACTGTACCATGAGGGCTCCTTAGCACCTCTATACCAATACTTAATTTGACGTCCCTACAAAACCCCCTCTGTCCCCAAAGTTAAAATGATGGTCATCCCACTCTGCAGTCAAAACAAAACTTAACTGTAAAGATAGAAACAAAACAAACTTCAGGGTATCTCTGCAATTATCAGATAGGACTCTCCTACTCATCATTTCGGATGTAATATTTTAGGTGAAAATAGCACATCATGCACACAAGAAGACTAGACAACGACATCTGTGATTTTATAATTATTTTAATAACCAGGTTTACATTAACAGTCACTTGATGAACTTTTTTTTTTTTTTAAATTTGACTTTCTTATCTCAGCTAAACTCGAAACACGGTTTTTCTTCACGGTTCGAACCAAACAGCTCTTGGCGTTCCAGAGCTGCCTCACAGCTACCACAGATCACAGGAGATTCACTGTCTGTCCATATGCACCAGACACAGAACTGAACACCCACACACCATTTTCCAAAGAGGGAAGTTACAATGAAAGCTGGCTGCTCAGGGCAGCCCAGGGGGATATCTGGGATTCAAGCTGGAGTTTCCTAGGGGGGACATCTGGGATCCTTGTGGCAATAATCAAAGGGGGAACAGTGAGCACAAGTTCTGACTTAAGATCCAGGTTTTTAGAGCGGAACAGGGCTCTCTGGGTGTGGTCATGCAGAAATGGGGCTTTTTTATTTCTTTGAAGAAAGGTGGTTTGGTGGATTACTCAATGTTGCCATTTTCAGCAAACTTAAGATGTAAAATAAATTCTACTAGGGTGGCTGGTTTAAGTGGTGGTCTTCTGTTTATAACAATGTGGAAGGGCTGGAGAGATGTCAGGGGCATCCTTTGAAAGGGGCAGGGCCAAGCTATGAGACGGGAACCAGTTGGGAAAGGAGGTGGACGTCCACCACCACATCTTCCACACGTGGCTGAGACACCAGTGAATTCCAAGAGGGACTGTCCAGCGTCATTTCAACATTGTCTACAAGGTGGTTTCATGTGCCTTACGTAGCAAAACAAACATGAGTCTTAAATTTTCACTTGTCTAACAATTTACTCAGAGAGCAAAGTCTAAAAAAACAGTGGGAATTTTGAAGGGCTGGTTTGGGGCTTTGTTTCTTGGGAATACTTATGCTTAGAAAGTTACTAACAGTACATGAAGAAAGGCAGACTTCCTTGGATAACAGCCGAATATAAAGTTCTAGTTGAACATTACATACCAGTTCCAAGTATATTTAAGATGTATGTCCGGCCATGGAAAATGTGTTTTCATTGTGCAGATTGATAATAAAGGGATGAGCTAGACTCTGGGTAGCCATTGGTGGTGCACAAGTATTTATTTGTGTGTCTTTTCGCCACCTGGTGGTTACAGCTGGTACTACACACCATAAAGTACATCCCAGCCAATGAGGTATATGCATGCTCCGGATGGAACAACATTGCCTTTTTTCCACGCTAGGTGCCCCCAAATTAAAAATTGTGAGTGTAGATACCTTTTCTTTCTTCTAGGTTTCCTTTAAAGAAAATATACCACAAAAGCCTAACAATAACAAGATTTCCCATCGTGATGATGAACAGCCCTGTTCATGGTGAAAACAGAAATTAGTTTGCTAGGGGACATTACCTTCTTAGGCTATTTCCAAATTCCCCTTCTTTCTAGTCTTCAACGTCATGAAACTTTCAGGCAGAGGTCGTGGTTTCTCCTAAGCACTTAAAAGGTGCTGTTCTCTTCAAAGTACTCAGTTGTGGGTTCTACCAGTGGGATTCCCCAAGAGGCCAGGAAGAATGGCCCGGCTTGGATGGCTGGTTTTTATTTGGTTGGTTGGCTCTTGGCTCTACAGTTCTTTACCCTGTTCACATAACTCCCTCCATCACTAAACTCTCAGGCAGACAAGGCCTCAGCAATACACCCTCCTGAGTCCTCCAGGGGGCACTCACCGCGGAAGATTTCAGTACCAGGACAAAATGCCCTTCAACGACTCAGCTAGTGGAAGAGAATCCCGGTGGCTAAGATTAGAAAAATGGGATCACAGCCCCAACACGTACTCCCTCTCCTCAGGGTGAACTTTTCTCAAATCCACGCCAATATGTTCTGATAACAAGCTGGTGGTAAAACTCAAGGGGCTCCCCATTAAAACAATAGTGCATACAACGATTCTACTCAGTAAGCGATGTGCTTAGGTCTCAAGGAATCAAAAGAACAACCCACCATTCACTACTGTTAAGGGAGAGCATCCATTCAGCCCCACCTGAGGTACAACCCTGAGCTGGTGAGGCCAGGCATGTGTTACCCAGCTGGGTTTGCAAAGACCGAAGAGTGCAGGCCCATCTCCCTGCGCTCAGAGGGAGGCATGTGTTTAAGCAGTGGCTGCCCTCCCAGAGAGCCTGTGCTGTACCATCCCAACTGTTTTAAGAGCACCAAAGAGGCAGGCAGGGCAAAAGGAAGAGAGAACCATTTCCTCTCTCCACATTGTCCTTCCAACCCCAGAAAACGAGAAAACCTGGAAAGCAGCACTGAGACAAAGGCAAGAATGAACACCAGCGTGATTAAGTACATGGAGGAGGGGTTGGGTTTGGGAGTTTTAATACAATGTTCAAAAGGAAGAAAATCTACCAGAAGTTGACATGACAAAAGACTGAACCCCAAGATCAGCTGCCGTCTCTGCAGGGTCAAGGGGGCCCTCATAAAGTGACGGCTGCCACGAGGGTCCATGTTCCGTGGAAAGAAAAGTATGTCATCAACACAATACAGGTACCCCGCCTGCTCCCCCACCCACCCGCCGCCCCTACCCGTGCCCTACCCCAGTCCCTCTGTGCTCTCCACCTTTCTTCAGGCCCCCACCACCCACATCCCCTAATAACTTGTGTCCCTTTTGTTCATTTTCCTGACCTCCCAGCTTTGTGTGTCCCCTTGTCATAGGATGCAACACTACACACGCTCTCAACACTATATAGCAGACTCTTGTAGCTTAGCGGCCTGTCTGACAGCATGCATGTAAATGGGGGGAGGGCGTCAAACAAATCAAGGCTATGCATCAACAGAAAACAAAGCAATTCTTCATAAAGCTAGGCAAGCGAGCGTAACATCGGAGATACATAAGGCTTGAGGCTTAGTGATCCTTTAGATTGCAACGGTTTGGATTCGCTTTCCTTCTTATTAAATATCGATGTACCATTTTGGCTTTGAAAAAATCTCTTCTTGCTTCTGCCCTTTTCTTTGGGGGGAGTTGCTTAGCTCAGGGACGTGATGTTAGAGCGGCCACCTGGGGGCGCCACAATGCGCTTGCTGGCCGAGCGTACTCCTTCGTCCACTTGGGTGCCTGCGGTTGGAAAGAAATGCCCAGGGAGAGAAAAGAAGAAAGGGAGGGGGACACGAGAGAGAGTGGATTAATTTTAAGAATGTAGATGTTGGGTGCTTTATCATCTCCAAAGAAAACTTCCATTCCTATCTCACCTGTCTTCTAAATTTCTCATACAATCCCCTCCCCAAAACCACTCGGTGAAAAAAAAACCCAAGCTCTACCTAGATTTCTTCTGACCCTTGATGCTAATAAGAAAAAAAACAACAATAAATGGCATGAAAAATGGCATCTTATATGCACTGTGGCAGACAACGTCTTAAGTGTTTATCAGGATTCTCATTTCTCTTAATAGCTATTCTTTGAGAGAGGTCCTATTATTATTCCCATTTTCCAGAGGTGGCAACTGAGGCTCCAGGAGGTTAGGTAATTTGCCCAAGGTCTCACAACTTGATGGGAGGATGGCCCAGTCCCTGTGACTGCAGCACAAGAGGGAACAGCAATGTGTCCTGGGCTGACTGATTCGTAGGTCACAATTGCTTGGCTTCACAGGGAAGCCTCTAAAGACTTAAAGGCGACCACAGAGAAAAAAGCAAAGGTGGCAAAAACTGAAAATTTCATATGATTAGAATGTGAACTCTGGTTTGATTTTTTTTGATAGATAAAAGTTTTCATAAAAAGTTAAGTTCCACTTAAAATTATAGACTTTGGTAGCTAATGCATTATGCATTGAGCTGCTGATTGACTGGTCAGTGAATCGAATCCACTTGCTCCCTAAATGACAGACAGGCAGTCTCTTCTTGTAAAGGTGTGCACCCTCAAAACCGATGCCTGGTGGCTCTGAGGCAGCAGTGGATAGGTGACAGTAAGTTTTGAAAATGCAGAATCGTACTCAAGTTGAAGGGTGGGTGGGGATGCTGGTGTTGGGCAGAACTGGACTTTGAGAAGTGTCCTTTCCCACCAATTTACAAGCTGTTTGAATTTGGGCACGTGACTTAAGCTGCCTGAGCCCCCTTTCCACATCTGCAACAAAAGACAGAACTGTGTTTCAAAGTTAAAATTAAAACGAACAACTAACACGAGATACATTTTCAAACAATGATATCAGTATAGTTATTATTACTACAGGGTGAGAAAGAATAAGTGTAACAGAAGTCTTGGGTTATAAAAACTTCTACAATTTGAGCATATAAATAATTTGAGCTTGTAGCCAGGGCAAACACAGGAAAACATAATATATTGAGGACCTCTCATAATCTAATGTAGAAAATCACCATCAATTCTTAATCAAAAGTTTCCCCATCCCTCAGAACTGATCCATGCAAGCTGAAATTAAGCCAGACTCTTTCCCCTGCCTCTGCCTTGTCTTGCTTTGTCAACAGGATTGCGTGGAGATTCAGAAGACTTCTTCACCTGCCCCAGAAACCTCACTAGAGATGCCATCAGGCCGGGGCTGAAATGCATTCAGGTTTAGCTCTAGGGCGCCCTCTACCGGAGCACTGACTTTCCCTCCGCATTCCTCCCTTTCTCATTAATGTCAAGATCAGCTTGACTGACTCACCGGACAGGCTGAATCCCGACTGATGGAGATTCCTCACGGGCGGGTTGGGCCGGGTGGGGGAGCCCCGTGTGGAGCCGGCAGGGGTGCCTCCCTTCGGAGTGGTGGTCAGGTCAAACACTGGTCCATCATACATGCCCCTGGGGACCGCGTGCAGGTCGGCCATCTGCCACCAGAGGAAGTACATCACCATTTATTCACATAACAGGCACATATTAATAGTTAATTCTAAGGCGCATATATCCATCAGTGAATTATGCATTAAAACTCCATCTCACATACTTTGGGCATGTTGCCAGCAGGGACTTGGAAGGGTGGAGGGACAGAGCAGGAGAGGGAGATACTGGATGACAGGGACTGACACAGTAACTGGGGTAACAGAAGCGGGCATCAGGACAAAGCATAGTTCAGAGCCACTGTTCATAGGGTGTCTACGAGTCGCAGTGGACAGCACATAACAACAATGGTGACAGCTAAACCATATTTTCTAAAAAGATGATATAATGGGAGCTCTGGTGGCCTAGTGCAAGAAGCTGAACTGCAATCTCAAAGGTGTAAGGTTCGAATCACTGGAAAAGGAGGGGCAATCTCCTCCTATAGCAGTCAGATCCAATTCAATGGTATACACACACACAAATAATAATAATAAAAAATAAATTTTAAAAATTACTTAAAGAAGGGAGGAGTAGAAGACAAATTAAGGGAGAGCTCATGGTGGAGTGACTGTGGAGGTGGTCAGTGACGGCCTCTTTAAAGAGATGATCTGTGATCGGAAAGCTCAGAGGAGGGTTCTGTGGGCTGGAATGCAGGGAGGGAGACTTGTGGGAGATGCTGGACTAATGAGGAGGAGAGGGCAAGTGGAGAGGGCAAGTGTCTGGAATGAAGCTGAAAACTCTACGGAGTGGAAAGAGATGAAAGCATGGTAAGAAAGGGGCGAGGCGGCTGGACAGCACATGGCTTAGGTGCAGGTGCTGGCAGGGATCAGGTGATATGCGAGGCCTCCACCTGCACACTCTTGAGTGAGGATTAGAGCTGCAAGCCTAGAAATGAGCTTCCTATGACCAGTCTCACTGTCTTCTGCTGGAGGCTGTATTTGTCCCAGGCTGTGCAGCCTGTCATCAGCACCTATCAAGTGCAAACAGCACCTATCAAGTGCATTCTCTGTGCTGGCCCGGTGCACACAGTGGGGTTGGTGGTCACAGAACACATGGTGTCAGCTTAGTGTCTAGTCTAGAACCAGTCACAACAAGACCGCCTAAGGCAGGGTTCAACACTCAATCGTGAATCCTTATCTATATTCACAGGTGGGATAAAGAGGACACACCACCAAGGGAACTTTATAGCACAGGATGGGTCATCTGAAAACCCCAACCAAGTTCTGCACCGCCTTCCTTCTCCTCTGTGAGTGGATGACTTTGGTGCAGGCAGTGAACGAAGGCTCATCGCACTTGTAGATCAGCATGATTCCTGAGGGGCAACGCCTCTATCTGTTCTCCCCTAAAGCCCCGACTAGTGACACCAGGTTATCAAATTGTCTTTGGGTCTACAACCTGAATCGTATACTAAGTCTGTGCCATTGCTGGAGCTCTGGTGGCTTAGTGATAAAGACTTCCGCTGTCAATCCAAAGGAACATTGTTCGAATCCATGAGCTGTTCTCAAGGAGAAAGATGGGCCATCTTCTCCTGTGTGATGTGCTGTCTTTAAAAACCCACTTGCGGACCAGCTCTGGGTCAGCTCTGACTTGACAAGAAAACACAAGAAAATGAAATTCATTCCAATTCATGGGGACCTCATGCTATCATAGTAGAACTCTACCTCAGAATTTTCAATGGCTGACTTTCTAAATAAAGATCTCTAGGCCTTTATTCCAAGATGCCCCTGGGTAAGCTAGACGCTTCGTGATTAGCATCTGAGCTTGTTAATTCCTGAACAACCTAGGAATTCCCTAGAGAGCACAGACCTTTGATAATGCCATGATTATCCCCCCCAGCTGCACGGTACACCAAGTGCCTCGCCCACCTCAGGGGGGCTGCTTACCCTCCTCCTGGCTTTAATGCGCTTGTAGACGTAGTCAGAAAACGGGCTACAGGGGATGAAGCGGCCGGCCCCCTGGGTCACGTGCAGGTTGCCATCCTCCAGCATGATCTTGCCCTGGCAGATTACGACCAGGGGAGCCCCACGCAACTCCATCCCTTCAAAGATGTTATACTCTGCTGCCTGAAGACAGGGGTGAGGAGAAAGATTTGGTGAGTATGTTGCTGTTAGGTGAGCATGTCGGAAGGAGGAAAAGGTCACATTTTCAAATCCGCTTTCAGGCTCACTAGGGACTGGTTCACAGGGTATGCAAGGACAACTTAGATGCGGCTGCAACCTGTCAGGAGGTGAAAGGGACCAAGAGGCGGATGCCTGTGAAGTGAAGCCTAACAGAGGTGCCCAATCTCCATCAAAGGCCTCAGGTAAAAAGTTTTTTATTAGAAGTGTTCAAGAAGAAGTTGCATCACTGTCAACGATGCCAACTTAGGGGGCTAGTTAGTACTGGGTGAGTAAGTAGATGGGGTACATGAACCTGAGGTCTCTACCAGGTCTCAACTAAATAACGTAACAGATACACATTTAAGCAAAGCCTTTCACCACCCAAACTGGGATCTATTTCCTCTCTCTCTTTCATTATTCAGTAAGAGGCATTATTGTAAAATGGTGAGGTTTAATTGTTTAGGCTTGAAGTCCCACTTGACGTGCCGTGTGACCTTATAGACGTTATTTAACTCTTCTGCACCTTGATTTCTTTATCTTGTAAAGAGGAATAATAAAAAGCACCTTCCTGAAGAAGAGAGATTCCATGAACTACAATTCAGCAAACTGAAAACACAGTGTATAAGATGTAAATGCTTTAAAAAAGTTGTCTAGTTTTACTATCATGTTTGGAAAGGTGAGAAGAGAATATGACCTTCAACGAGATGGCTTGACACCATAACTGTGAAAATGGGCTTGGGCCTGGCAGAGATTGTAAGGATTCTGCAGGGTCAGGCAAACTTTCAATCTCTTGTTCGTAGGGCTCTACAAGTCGTAGTTGACTTAAGGGCACACGCAACAACAAAAATTAAGTCCCTTTCTGTGAAAGCACTGAGCTATAATTTTATCTATTACAAGACACTCCTTATCAGTGCTGTTCACCAATTATTTCTAGCTCTTTCTAAAACCAAAGCAACATTGCAGTCTCCAAGCTCTGCCCTTTCAGGTTTGGCACAGCCATCTGACTGGCTTTGGCCAATAAAGTGGAGGAGGAAGTGGTGAAAATGGTTTCAGAGTCACAGCGCCAGCTGCCAAGTCCTGTTCCCTGCCTGCAGACACGGCAGCACACGGAGCAATGCAGCGAGCCCTCCCTCTTCAGCCTCGTTCCTAAGCAGCTATGAGCAGCAGAGACCCTCACTTAGGAAAGCTTGAATTATAAGCACACTTTGAGGGTGTGAAGCCTGGTATTACTGGATTGCTTGTTTCTCATCCTGGTCTAACTTCCCTTGTTCACCACACAAAGTCCTCCTGACTGAGCCCCATGCACGCCTCCTCCCCACTCTGCCTCCCCGCCCCCAGCGCCCGCCTCACCGACTGGTGGTTCTTGGCAGAGACGATCTTCACAGCATCTGGATCCCAGATGACCAGGTCGCTGTCAGAACCCACAGATATTCTTCCCTTGCGGGGATACAGGTTGAAGATCTTGGCGGCATTTGTGCTTGTCACAGCCACGAACTGGTTTTCATCCATCTTTCCTGTGGCCTGTTAAGAGTCCAAGTTCAATCACTGTCACTCTGAGCTTATAGCAAGGTAATCATGGATCCTCAGAGATACAGAGGGATCTCTTAGATGGTGAGCAAAGAACCCCACTGCCAGCTCCAGTGTCTGTCATGCCGTTACAGATGTGACCTGGGCAACATGAGTGACTCGTGGTTTACAATGGGCACTGAACCCATCAGCAGTCTCTCCCATCGAGTGTCCTCATTAGGACCACATGGAACAGGGCACAATGGCCCTGCAGGGCTTCCTAGGATGTAACCTCCATGGGAGCAGCCCACTGTGTCTTTGTCCTCTACAGTGGCTGGTGGGGTCAAGCTGTTGATTTCAAATTAACAGCCAAACACTTAACCATTGCACAACCAGGGTTTCTGAAGGGAGTTACGGCTTCTAAAAAATGCAGTGTCTCTAGATACGAAGATGGATTTACTACTCACCATGCCTCTAATCCCAAAAGGGACTCCTGAGAAGTCACAGTAAAAAACCAAACATGTTCAAGATCCTGTTCTTCATGTGAATATGTCTATTTGCATGCCCACAAGACAAAGATAAGATAAGGGGAAGTAAGCTTTCTCACTGTTAACAGGTGGGCTCTTCCCTCCTGGGTTATGGACTCACAAGTGATTTGTATTTTTTTTCCCTGTATGTGATTTCCAAATGTCATTTCTTGGGTATGTACCATGTTATGGATTAAATAACACCTATAGTTAACAATTCCAGATAATGCCAACATAAGCACGTAGAAATATTCAAAAAGACATAACCAAAAAAATTCACTGTGTGCATTCCAACTCGCAGCAGTCCTGGGTGACAGGACTACGACTGCAGACCTTGATGGCATCGGATTGCGTCATCCTCCCCAAGAGGAACAGCTCGGGTTTGGACCTGCAGATCTGTAGCTTAGCTGTTGACTATTACTTCTTATGGGGTCTAGGGCCCTCACAAATGTAACAGGGTTGCAGAGAAAACAAAACCGACAAAAGTAAATCACGTGAGAAAAGAGACAAAAATATTTATACTTGTTCCTCTTCTTAAAACCAAAAAGGCAGGCAGAATAAAAATTAGATGAGTTTAGCTTTGAGCTTACTCGTAGCTCAGAAGAGGGAAACTCAGTGGAATTTGGTATCAGTACATTCTATTTGGATGTAAATGAAACTAGTTTGCAGGGACTTCAAAATAAAGCAAAGAGAAGTGATCAGTTCAATAGTGGCTTAAATATTACGTTCACTGGTAGTTTACTTCTATAGTAGCTTTCCTCTGGAAATCCTATGAACCCTGGAGAAAGGACGAAGGTTATACAGGTGTCCAGGACTTTGCTTCATAGGGTCGCTATGAGTCGCCTACGACTCAACGGCACTTGACAACAACAACAACAACTCACTAGTAGTTTAGTCCATATTGAATTGCTCAGCTAAACCAAAGGCCACGACTCTTTGGAGGATAGAATCCACCAGTGACTCCATGGAAGAAAGACTGACAATCTCTTCTCGTGGGATTCACAGCCTCAGAAACCCAGCGGAGGGCCAGCTGAGTCAGTTCTGACTCAAAAGCAATGAGTATGGGTGAAAAATCCTTGAGAATGTTTTTGTTTACATGGATATTTCTTTCAGTTCTTGTGAAGTTAACAAGAAAATTAACATCAAGTCAGGCCAAATTGTCAGAAGACACAGAAAGACACTTTGGACAATCACATGTCTTCAGAGGAGGGCATCCAACTAGTTCCCATCTAAACCCAGGCTCATTTCTCAATTCGCCGAGGGGAGATTGGCATTGAGCTTTTACAGAGAAGTTGTAAAACTCTCTAAACAAAAATACTTTAATAAATTAGTCTGCATTAAGTACAGATGATTCGTGCTCATAGAAAAGGATCTTTACTTTTGGTTCCTAAGTCTGGACAAGGAGGCTCCTTCAAATTCTAGATTTGGGGATTTAATAGTATAGATTCAGGAACTTCTGAGCAGGTCTGAGAGTCCTCTCCACACCCAGCAGCCACACCCGAGACACACGGAGGAACAGGGCTGCCTCTATAGTGCACAGGACACTCTGATGTGACCACGGACTTGCCCTCTTCCCACCTCCTCCATGCCTTACCACAGCCTTGTCCCAGATGACAGACATCCTCTCCTCCACACCGTTGGTGCCCTCAGGAATAACTGTGAAGTTATCCTTCCCAATGGCTTTCTGGGCAGTGCTGAAGGTGCAGTGGGCGCTTCCAGAGAGCTGCAGGTCCCCGCTGGCAAAGACAGAAGCTCCATGTGAGTAGGGGACAGGGTGGGAGGTCCCACAGGGTCTATGTGTAAGGGTTCTAGTGTAAGAGTCTGTGTGAGGGGTTTAGTGTAAGGGTCTGAAGTCTAACAATTCCAGTCTGTGATTCTTCCTCTGCTTTTTATTATTCTGGGTGAGTTTAGGTAACTTTTATTCCCTCTCTGGAAAAGGGATGAGATTAGATTAAATATTTTGTAGCAAAATAAAAGGGACTCAAATGAACGATAGGATTATCAGCAGAGAGCAGCTGTAAAGAATTCTCCACATACATTATAGCATGTGGACATTATGACCAGTCTTGCATATTTAGATACATTATTTGTCCTTCTGACCCTCAGTGGTTTAATATGTACAGAGTTGAGAGCTATTGTGCACAGGGTCGCTGTTAATCGCAAGTGACTCGATGGCACATAACAACAATGATGATAGTCTCCTACTCTTGAGGTTGTTGTGTGCTAGATAAGACCAGACCTGTACTCTTAGCATAGTGTCTAGCACACCCTACCTACTATCTGCTGTTAACTGTAATTAAGTACCATAAAGAACACACAAAACTGACCCTCTAGAGGGTTTTCAGAGGCAGTGCACTGCATGGGAGGAGACTGCCCATCTTTCTCTCACTGAGAAGCTGGTGGATTCAAACTGGGTGCCTTTGGTTGGCTCCTTACCTCCAGGCCACTGAGCTCCCCACTAACCCTGATTAGCACTATTGTTACTTTCAACTCAAGGATGCCCCCCCCCCCCCGCACAATGGCACAATGTCATAGAATCACTGTGAGCTGTGGGGTTTCCACTGGCTCGTTTTTGGGAGTATCACAGGCCTTCCTTTCTAGGAACCATAGTCTAAAAGCTCTGATGAAAGCTGGTCAACATCACAGAACCCAGAGGGGCATGGCTATGCATCAGAAACAATTGAATCCTGTGTCTCTTGTATGAATATTATTATTACATTATTTAAAAAAATACTATAGAAAAGAGTCTCATTTTTTTTGGTGCCCCATAACTCAGGGGAATTATTTTTTTAATTTTATTTTCGTTGCTCCTGTTGAGCAGATGCACAGCAGAATATGTATAAATGCAACAGACAGCACAGCTATAATGATATGATGATGACATTCTTTATGTTACCATTTCCACTCTCTTTTTCCAAACTAACTCACTGTCCACTAAGACTCCTCTCTAACATTTCAGGTTACTGGTGCCAACTAGATCTCATAGTTTTTTAAAGAGCATACTACTGAAGGCAGCATTCTTTCGTAGTTAAGCTAAATTAACATTTGGTTTAAGGAAGGCTTCGGGGAACATTGTTGGCTTAATGTGTGGAAATGATCTCAGGATAACAGCTTTAGGGTTTATCCGGTCTCAATATCTCCAGAAAGTCTGGAATCTCTGAGAATAAGAAATTCTGCTGTGCATTTCCTTCCTTTGGAGTAGGATTCTTGTACTGAATCAGATCAAAATGTTCAGTTACAGGTGTAGACACTGTTTGAATCTGATATCATAGAAAAAAGAGGAAGTTTTTCATGGAGGCCTTAGCCACCCACCTGGAGAGAACTTCTTTGTGCATTGATTCCCTCACTTCAGACCGTTATCGAGCTGTGGCTGTTCTAGTCTCCATACAAGCAGTCTCGGGACACGTTCATGAAATGCCTGCACCTACCTGGCCAGCAAGGAGTTGATGTAGTCAGGAGTGGTTGGGTCAGGGCTCAGAGGAGGAGATGTCACGAAGGCGGCCGCCTTGGCCCAGTTCTTGCTCCAGTAATGAGTCCCATCTGTACCGAGGCTGGCAGTGATGGGCTCACCAAATACCACATTTCCTGGAGATGGTAGGAAAAAGGTTTTCATAAAGAATGTTCTTCCTCGGTCCCAGCTTAGATGAGCATTCCAAAGCTACTGTGGCTCTGGAGTCAGAGTGGTCTGTGTTCAAATTGACGCTGCCAACTTTTCTAAGACTTTGCTTTTCTATCTACTAGTATTATATGGTTTAGATTAGATGCAGCCATTGATTATAAAATGCAAAATTACTTCTCAAACTTTGAGTCAAATGAAAATCTTAGATTAAAAAAATTATAAGATCTATATTCATTTTTAAAATGTAAAACTGCAGAAAAGATGATGTTTACTTTGTAGGTTGGTTGTGAAAATGCAAGAATTTGGCATATGTGAGGTGTCAGGCAAATAACAGGAACTCAGGACATAGTGAGTTCAATACTCTCTCCTATTCAAGGGACCACACGCCCCAGATGTGCCCACATCACTGGAAACTGCTAGAGCCTGCTGTCATAAATGCATGGTTTGGTTTCACAAGGTAAAATCCATTTTGTGGGTGAGAGGCTCTCAATATTTTTCTCATCATGTTGTTTACTCCTTAACCTGAGGCAAGGAATGATCTACTCAAGGACACACAATGATGTGGAAAATTACAAATATGAGGCCAGCTTGGTGACTACACCTGCATCAGGGGCTTTAAGTGCCCAAAGGAAAGAGGAGGAAATACATTCATCTAAGCCTCTGCTGAGTTCCTTTACAAAGGGACACTCAAACAAAGAGCAATCATATTCAGTAGAAGTTGCTTGGTAGCAAGTCTCTCTGAGCCAGAATCCTACTGCAAAGACGCCCCTGGCATCCCTAAGACTATTTAGCTTCACAGCAAATTACCTGTTGTAAGTTCCCCTCAAGTCTAAGAAAGTCCCATCTATGGAGAGAACATTGGTATGGTTGCCTGGAATTCTGTGTAGAGAATATTTTAAATAATATTCTGCTCTTACTAGAAAACACTCAATATTAGTGATGCCTGCCACAGGCAGCAGAAATAATTAACATACGTCAGCTCTACTCTCGGGGAGGTAGTAAAAAGAATCCATCCACATGCAGCTGCTGAGAGTCTCAAAGTTTCTCCAAAAATATTCATCCAACCAAAGCACAGGAGTAATGAAAGGAAGTGATCAAAGTCAAGACCAGTGTTCAAATTATTAAGAATACTCGTCAGAGAAATGCAGTCTTAGTGGTGGAAGAACTCTCCTTCTTTGGACCCCATTTAGCATGGCAGAACTTGAAAAGCAAAGGATGATAACGTGACCTGGATTCAAATATTAGCTCTCACAACCAGGAAATTCTGGACAAGTTATACTTCCATTTCCTACCTGAAAAATGGAGATAATAAAGCCTGTTTCACAGAGTTCTTTAAGGATAGAAAATGGTAACAAAATTAGAGTGTTTATCTCAGTGCATGGGTCCCGGTGACACAGTCCCTAGTGAATTGCGCTGCCAACTCAAAGACACTGTCTCTCCGGCAGTTCGAATCCACCAGTGGCTCTGAAGATCATTTTGCTCTGTGCCTCTTGAAGCCTTGGAAACCCAAACAGACTCAGCTATGAATTGGTTCCAGTTTGATAGCAATGAGTTATCTCAGGGCTGGACAGATAGTTGTTTGTTGCTCACTAAATTGTTGATTTCTAATATTAACATTGAACAGCCAGGCAAGACTATGAATCGGTGATCACTGGGATGTAGAGTCCTCTCCAGATGGCAGGGGAGCTTGACTATACTCTCTGTCTTCTTGCTCTGAAAGTTCTGGTCTTTTTCCCTGAAAATGACAACTCATGAGATGTTTTCTGGCTTCCAGCTCAGCAGAAGGTTTTTCATCACTGAAATAATAATGCCTCCTTTCCACCCCTAAGACACAGCTGCGTTATTTCTTCTGGCCAGAGAAGCATAGGCCAGACAGCAAAAGGGTGAGGAATTTTTCTCCCTGAAGCAAGAAATGAAAGCCAGCATTTATTGAACGGAGTCACCCTGTCTTTGAGGGCCAACTCCCCCCTCCCCCCAGTGCCTCCATGCCAAGAATGGGTCCCAGAAGGATGCAGGTACATGAGGACAAATGCAGTTGGTGGTCATGGGGTGAAGATGCAGGTGTTCTCCAAATAGTTTCTTTCCTTTGTGCTGCTAGTCTTCTCTATGCATACTTTTGCCTATCTCCAGGAAGGGAGATGGAGCATTAGGCTGCTTTCTTGGTTCTCGCCCCGATGACTCAGACCCAGGGGAGGGACACACCATGCCAGGGGAGACATTTAAAGGCTGGGGCTGAGGAGAAAGAGCAGACTTACTGTGAGCAGGGTAATGCCGCAGGGGGCCCAGAATCTGCCAGCTCAGAAAACCGTCTAGACAGCTAGGAAGACTCCTCTCCCACAAAGGGTAGCAAGGGGCCACCCTTTGCCAGAGGCCAGGCAACTAACACCTCAGCGTCAGAGTGTCAGAGTCTGTCAGAGCATCAGAGTCTGTCAGAGTGTCAGAGTCCGCTGGGACTATAATTAGCCATCACAGTCACTCACAACTGTGAATCTGCAGGCTTGTTCTGGGTATGGCAGATGAATCTTTCCACCATCAAAATGTCCACTGGCCCACAGCAATAGCACCCACACCACTGGGTCTGGTAAATTATCTCTCTCACAACAACAAAACTGTGTCTCCAGTTTCTTAACCACTTGCTTCACTTGTCCAATCTCATGACTAGAACAATTCATTTACTACTTGGGAGAGGGGGTAATAATAATAATGCTTTGAAATTAGAGTAAATTTCAATGAAGCACAGATCAAACATACGCAGCACAGGTTCACAGCTAAGGAGATACAAAGCAGAGGTCAGAACAGCAGAGAAGCAAGGCCATAGTCCGTGAAGGTGGAGTGAACACATCCTGCTGCTAACTGAATGGTCTTTGGTTGGAGTCTATCTAGAGGCACCTTGGAAAAAGTGCTGGCAATCAACTTCCAAAAATGCATTCATTGAAAACCCCATGAAATACAATTCTGCTCTGACATATATTTTATCTCCATGAGTCAGAACCATGTCACTGGTAAATGGTGACAGGGTCATGAAGGCCATGCCAGTAGACATGTTTGAGTAAACAGTTAACCCTCTTTCAAAAACAGTCTGTCCTCAATTCTAGCTAGACAGAACATGCTAACTCCAGGGCTGGTTCAGGGCTGAACACATGACTTAACCCAAGAGAGTTGCAGGCCCCCTGGGAACTTCTGTTTAAACTGCCAGTAAAGTACACCTTTTCTGGTGTATGTTACATCCCACCATGCCTCCATCAAACTCTGAGGACAGCAAGCACATCCTGGCATTTATTTTTGTCACTGTTAGTCTACATCTCCCTGAAGGTAGAGGCAATTATTAATCAAAAGAATATTAAAGCATGACACGTGAAGTAGTTGGCTTATAGGTTTTAACATAAGATGATTGAAGGAGGGGGAGGATACCCATAATATAAAGAGTGAAATATAATGCAAATGAAAGATTTTATAAAACACAATGTATATGCATGAAACACAATGTACAGACATGATAAAAATGTTAAAGATATAAAAAAAGTTAATGGAAATCAGAATTACAGAAAGGAAATTGGAAAAATTTAATCACATTGTAAGCATTAAATTTAATGTTCTAGGGCAAAATGCACATGAATGGTCAGATGAAAAATTAATTTACTTTGTAAGGCTTTACTCAAATAACAACTTAAAACAATGAAGGTGATGAAGAAAAAGTGAAGAATGGAAGGAGAGAGACAGGTCCAATATCTATGGAAAAGCCTTTGATGCAACCATGCCTAACAGCCCTATAAGCAATAACTGAAGGTTTATTTAAGCTGTGGAATTGGATTTTTTTAAACTTTTACAATCAAAATAATCTTGACTCATAGGTTTATTCGCCTGCCTTTCAGTGGGCCACATAGCTCCTTACCCACTAGATCATCACAATGACTGAATTTCTTGACCCTGAGTATGTTAATTTATAAAACTTAGATAATGTGGCCCACGATAAAAGATCAAAAAGAAATTATTCAAGTGAAATAGATTGACTCAGTGACTAGAGAGGTGGACCTGGGTCTGTCGGAGATGATGAGACTGGCAGATTTCAGAACTGTTGTTGTACTTAGGGTTGCTATGAGTCACAGATGACTCGACTGCACATAACAACAACATGCTATGCAAACCACTTAACCTTCTAGGGCCTGGTCGGTTCAAACCTCTGACTTTGGTTAGTGGTTAAACATTTAACCACCTTGCTACTAAGACTCCTTTCAAAAGCAAAAAATAGGCACCATTTCTAGAGAGCAGATAAAGAGGGAATGAGCCACGTGATCTGGCATGCCAAGACTCCGTGAAAAAGAAATCACCTTTCTTCCTGGCTTGGGAGATGAGGTCAGCTGCACTCTTGCTCATGACCTTTGTGATGTAGAGAGGACAGTTGGTCTGGCTGGCGATGGTGATGGCACGGAACACAGCCTCGGCTTCCAGCTGCAAAACATAAGTCCCCAGGGTCAACAGGAACAGAAACCTCACAGACATGCCAAGTCCCTGCCAACACAAACTGTGAGAATGCCCTGAGGTGCAGAGGTTCAAAGGCGAAGATTCCAATTCCAGATCTCCCCATACGGAGCCCTGGACTTAACCAATTGTAAAATGGAGAGCAAAGCATAAGATCATGTGGCGGCAATGTCTGCCACAGGGTAAATATCTAAAATAATGAGAAGAGTTTTTCCTTAGTCTGTCTTCTCTGCTGGAAGTTGCTTCTTCCTAAATTGCCTGAAGTTACCAGCAAAGGCAGTTAGGCATCAAACTGGCACAAACGCTTTCTAGCAGCCTTGAGTGGTGAGCAAAAGATTAATTCTAGGGTCATTTCTTGTAACCACCATCCCCAGGCTTCTCAGTGCAAAGACTTATTTCATTATCCAGTTCCTCCCCTCCACTCTAATGCAGGATTCATGTTTTCAAACATGCTAACCAACCCAGTTGCATTTATTAAGTAGAGAATAACAATGAGGTTTTTCCTATTTTATTAACAAAGATGGCTGCAGGCTCTGAGACAGCCTGGGCCAGAGTCAGGGCTTTTCTACTTTCTGGCTAAGGGGTCACAGGTAACTTATCAGCCTCCCAATGCCCTCTCTGCAGAGTGGGGATCCTAAAAGAACCTAACCCTGGGACTGTCCTAAACATTAAATGAATTAAGCTTTATAAGGCAATTAACCCATTCCTGGAACCAAGCAAACATTCCTTGAGGGCAATTAATTGTTCTTTATAACAATAACAATAATAATTAGTATTATTGATGGTCAAAGTTTCTTCAGCAGTGTCACCCTTTGCTACGAATGAGCCCAACTGACCCCATGGCAGAAGTATTTCCCAGTTTCCCTTTCAAGAGGGGGAAAATGAATAGTTCAATGTATTCAATTTTTTAATAGATATAACATCTTGGTGAGCTTGTGCAGGTCAGTGTCTTAAAAAAATCCTAACAACTGCTTTCACATGCAAAGTTGTACACAATACAAACCAGTCACTGCCCTTGGTGGGACAGACTCCACTTACAGACTTTTAACAGTTGGAGCTTCAGGTCGCACTGTTCTGTGTGGACTGGGCCCTCCAGGGGCCTCACAAGGCACCTGAGCACAGGTGAGCTGCGTCCACCCTGAAGCACACACACCTCTGTGCTCCGGCTTAGCTGTCTTGGTGCCTGGAGTGGCTGGGAGCTCTCTGAGAGGCATCGCTCATGATGGTGTCTGGACGAGTTCTGCACCAACAGAGGCAGGCTCCTCCCCTGCTCATTCCCTCCTCTTCACGCCTATGCTGAGCACTTGAGCACCTTATGACCTCAGACTTGGCCCCTTTGATCTCCTCCTCTCCCAACCCTGCAGGTTTTCCAGCACTTTGACAACATGACTATCTTTGGAAGGTTACATCACCCGCCAGCTTCACCCCAAAGGCGTCCGTGGTTGTAGAGATCTGCAGCTGAGAGGCTTTCTACTAAAAAGGAGACGGAACAGGGAACGGGTGGGGATGGCGGGGCCTGAAAAAACAAACCAAGGAACAAAAATAGCCTTTGCTCTGAAATCCCCTGGCTGCTGCTGAAGGAATCTATCTTGCCAGCACATCGGTGCAGTGACCAGCACTTAAGGCAAGTTTCACAAACAGTCCTGCTTCCTCTGTCTCGCCTGCTTACCCTGTGTGAAGAGTTCTCCAGTCCCTCCCACATAGTGGGCCATTGGGTTAACCTCTCTGGGCTTCACTTCCTGACCTGTAACAGCTGTCACAGTAACATCAACTGTCCAGAGCCTCATCAAGGATGGCTTATGGTGGAGACACAGCATGCAACGGACGCAGGGCTGCATACAACGAAGTATTCAACAAAAACCAAAACCAAACCCAATGTCACTCAGGGTTACCCTAGAAAACAAGTGTGACTTTCCCCTAAGATCCCCACAGCTACAAATCTTTACAGAAGCAGATTCCCACATCTTTGGGCTGAAACTGCCAACCTTTCAGTTAGCAACCAAGTACTCAACCATTGTGTCAACAAGACTTCTTGACATACTCAGTAGAAACCAGACACCTCATTTCCATTGAGCTGATTCAGACACATGGTGACTCCTTGTGCAAAGGGACTTGGTATTACTGAAGAGACTTTTCGGGTATGCTGTATGTGACTGTGATCACAATCACAAGGTTATAAATTACTTTCAGTGGCCATAAGGATGTAGACTAACACCAAAAAGTGACTGAGGATGCTGATGATGTCGTTCAAACTGGATGCTGGTTGCACAAATATATTAAGTTTGTGAAAAATCACTGCATCCCTCTGATAAAGCACTTTTTCGCTGCGTGCTACCTTGAAAGTTTAAACATTTGAAAGACTTAAAAACATCATTTGAGATGGTGGTAAGAAACTTTGCTGCAATCCCAAAGGCACACAGTTCAGCTGAAAACCCACCAGAGGGCCAGCTATGGGTTGGTTCCAACCCTGTGGTACACAGCAACAATGGAAATACAGTCATTTATGATTTGGCTTCTTAAATTTGCTGTCACTTGGACCTTGGAATGACAGAAAGGGTCAGGAAAAATGGACGGCCTTGAATGTATTCCAACTGCCAGCACCACGGTTAGCCCCCACAAAAGCCAATTTTCTGTCTGTTATCTGGACCATCAATTCTCAGCTCCATGTCCTGTGCCAGCAGTTTAAGTTCCTGGCATCCTAACGACACAGACTCAACTTCTTGTTACCTTTTAGTCTCCCTTTTTCTGCCGGTGCAGATCCAGACCTTCATTTTATACATAGGACACTCCCATAGCAGAATGTAGTCATTATCTTACACTAGAGCATGAATATGCATGCTATGAAAAATCTTCTCAACTTCCTATTCATAAGGTCTGTATCTGGCAGGACTCCAATATAATATGGAATGAGGCAGTAAGTGACAATATGAAAGGAGGAATTGGAAGTACCTCACCCTTAATGAATTACTGTAAAGCAGACTCTACACTGTTATCTTTAGGGAGGTTACAGGCCAGAAGTAAGCATTTACTTTGCATTCCTTTCTAATTCCCTGAAGGTCTCTGAGCTATGGCCAACTGGCAGTGGAAAGAAATGCCTCAACGTTGCTGTGTGGTAATCATAGCTTCTCCCTTTCATTGATAGTTATTCATACACTGGACGCACTTATGCCTTGGGAATGTGGGCAAATACAAATACTCTCAATACAAAATGAGCTGTAGAGATGGATGGGCATGTGCTACAGGAGCCCTCGGATATGCTGGTAAAGAAGACAGTGCCCCTCCCCCCTCCCCCTCACCTCCTCTGGTCTGCTCAGCACATGGCCCTCGGGGCCAGTTATCCCCATCTCCAACATCCGGCTTTGTTCCTAGAATGAGAAAAGAAGAGATGGTTTTGAAAATAGTATAGTTGGAAAATATGTTTTGCTCTATAAAAGCCCTAAAGGGGGAAAAAAAAAAGAACAAAACAAGGTTGAGTTATTACTGAAAGGGGAAAGAAAAGAAATTTCGGGGTAGCTTCTTGTTATCTAAGAAGTAGTTCTGGTGGTACAGAGGATAAGCGATGAGCTGTTAACCTACAAGTCAGCCATCTGAAGCCACCAGCTGTAGCACAAGAGAAAGATGGCAGGCTACTTCAAAAGAAGTTACAGCCTCCGAAGCCCCGTGGGGCAGTTCTTGTCTACCCTGCAGAGTTTCTATGAGTTGGAATCAATTTGACGGCAATAGGAAAGTGTGGTTAGTTTTATTAAAATGCAGTCTATTAGAGTTTCACTTTTGTTTCTACATTACTTATCAAAAGTCACACTATCTCACGTACTCTTCTTCTCCTTCACACATAAACATTTCCCCATTCCAAAACTCATGCATTCAATAAAATGCATTAAGTACCTGCTTTTGTTCAGCTCTGGTTAAGTACTTGGTTGTACCCATAGAACTGTGTCAACCTATGATTAATACCCTACCCGCCCACCCATCTTCACCCCTCTATATCTACCCTCCCCTCGTTTGGATTTTCATACTCATTCTACAATAATGGTTTTCTACAGTATTTGTCCTTATGGGACTGAGTTAGTTCACTCAGCATAATATTCTTCAGTGCCTCTCAAGTTAGGTCGTAATTTACAAAATCACTGCTCCTGGGTGCTGCATAGTATTCTGTTATATGAATGTATCACAACTTCTCAATCCATTCCTTTGCGGTTGGACATTTGGACTGTTTTCATGTTCTTGTGATGGTGAATAACACTGCTATGCACACTGGTGTACAAGTTTCTGTTTGAGCCTCAGTTCTCTTTTTCTTGGAGTATATTCCAAGCAATGGAATAGCTGGGTCATAAGGAATTTCTCTGTTCAGCTTTTTTAAGGAAGCACCAAAGTGCCTTCCAGAGTTGTTGTACCATTTTTTAAATTAACATGTGTTTGCACCCATAGGAAAAAAGATTTCTTCTTTTTCATTAGTTGTTTTTGCATTTGATCAGCAAGAGACTGGGTATAGCAGCTGCTTTCATGTGGATAATGTGATAAAATCTGTTAGCTCAAGCAGAATGCAATAAACACATGCAATAATCATCCAAAGAGAAAAATGTCCATATTCTTTTTGTCGCTTAGAACAGTAGTGAATGGGGACACCAGACATGCACTTAAGGAATCAAAAGAGGAAAAGAAAAAGATACAAAGAAAAAAAGACTTTCTATTGGAGCTGCGGACCCAAGGGCACATAACAGCAACAACAACATTGGAGCCCAGTTGCCCCCAGGGAGTCTATAATCAAAAGCTGGGGCTCATTGTCGACAGCAGCAGGGAGGGCTGGGATCTCTGTTTCAGAGCTGGAAACTTAGAGACGGGGAGGAGACAGCCCTAACACTACTGGGATACCTCTCGCAGGAGCAAGAAATATGGAGCCTCTCTGGAATACTGTTTCATTACTTTGGTGTGTGGCTGATTCGGGAGGAAGTGTTGTCAGGAGCCTAGCTAATGAGCCTCCCAGGAAGAGGAAAATGAACACAGAGCTCTCATCCTTTGTGAGCAGAACAACTTATTGCTGTTGTTATGTGCCATTGAGTCGAATGCCACTCATAGCAAGTCTATGAACAGTGGCTCTAACACCTGCCATATCCTGAGCCCATCTCACTGTCTGACACAACAAGCCCCATTGTCCCAATTACTGTGTCAATCCTTCTCATCCAGAGTCTTCCTTTCCTGTGCTATCCCTCCACCCTTCAAAGAATTATGTCCTTCTCCAAGGTCTAGTCCCTCCTGACAATATACCTAAAGTATGTGATCTGGAGCTACAAAATCTTTGCCTTTAAAAAAAAAATTAAAAAACAAAAAGAAATAATTTTTTTAGAAAAAATATCCTGGCCTCAAAGAAGCAGCTAGGCTTCACCCTCTCCAAGACAGACCTGTTTGTTCTTCTGGCTTTCTACGGTTCAGTACTCTTCTCCAGCACTACAACTCAAAGGCATCATTTCTTCTTTTCATCCTGCATCTGAAAGCCAGACAATGACTAAAGATGATAGAAGAAGAACTGATTATCTTTGAACTGTGGCACCGGAGAAGAGTGTTGAAGAGCCCATGGATGGCCAAAAGAACAAACAGCTATGTCTTGGAGAAGGTGCAGCCAGAGTTCTTCTTGGAGACAAAGATGATGAAGCTTCATCTCACATACTTTGGGCATGACGCTAGAAGACGGATATCATGCCTGGGCAGGAGGAGGGACAGTGAAGCAGAGGAAGACTCTCAACCCTCAGGCGGGCTGACACAGTCACTGCAGCATTGGTTCGAGTGTGTCAGGGACTGTGAGGATAGCACAAAACTGGACAGGGTTCAGACGAGTTGTTCATGGGTCACTATGAATCGTGCTCAACTCAATGGCACCTAACGACTACAACAATGATTGACTGCCTATGTGCTTTGAACTGGTGACCTGATGTACTAACTTATAAAACAGAGAGGATACAAGGCATCTTCGAAGAGTTGGGGAAGGTCAGGGGAGAATATACTGGAGCACTTACTAGTTAGTGCCTGTTGTATAGTTGGTATACAATGTTCATCTATTGCTACTACTGTTAAACATCAGTATTCATTGCCAAATAGTCAAAAGGTGGAAAAAACTAAATGTCCACTATCAGCAGGTGAACAGATAAACAAGATGTATACAGTTTCATACAATGGAGTACTGCTCAGTAAGGAGACATTAAGATCATGGAACAACATGTATTGACCTTGAAATCATTAGTTTGAATAAGCTGATAACAAAAAAAGGTATGAAATGCATGCTCTCATGCCTATAACATAACTAGGAAAAGCAAACGCATAGACATCAAGGTTTATTAGTGGTCACTAAGAAAAGTAGTAGAAATTTGGCATTGGATATTGGTAATAATTAATTCAATTAACAGCTACTCATTATACAGGGAGTTCTGGTGGCCTAGTGGTAAAAACTGTCCTGCAATCCCCGAAGGTACACAATTCTATGGGAGAAGGAGGGGCACTCTCCTCTTGTGCAATTAACTGCCTCTGAAAAATTTCCAGAGGGTCAGCTATGGATCATTTCCAACTTGATGGTACTCAACAACAACACATACACATGTAAAAAAAATGTCAAGTGGGCAAATGTTGTGAGATCTATCTATCTATCTATCTATCTATCATCTATCTCAGCAGTTAAAAAATACTATCACTATCAGAAAGCTTAAGGTCCAAGATTCAGATAAGCCTAAGCATTATTCCCACACCTCTGCTGACTACATTCACCAAGTAATGGACAACTTCTAAAACAAAGGTATACAACATAAGCACTTAGGAGATATGGAATGTGCCTGTTCTGTCTCACCTCTGCAGCAGAGTGCCTGGCCAAAGTGCACAGGCAATGCTCTCTGAAAGAATGAATAATGGTTTCTTGCTGTTAATGTTATCAAATGTACTGAGAAAGCTCTTTCTTCCTTTCTGGTTCCCTCCTCCTAGCAGAGGCCAATTCTGATTGCTTCCGAGATAAACAAAGCCCTGCCTGCCACATCTGTGCATCTATGCCATTAGACAACCCAGGAGATGCAGAGAATACTGCTTTCTGCTTCCTCGCAAATGATCAGTTTGGGCCTCAGGGCCCTCACTTTCATCACTCTTTCCTCAGGTTTCTCAATATAATTTCTGGTAAACCAGTGGGACGTCTAATACCCATAAGATCTGAATTCTTGATTATCTAAGGCAGCAAGTTCTGAGGACTTCATTGGTCCTCAGATTTCTGATTCAGAGAAATAATGCTAGCATGTTTTACTCTAGATTGGAGACTGTCATATAGCTTTGACTCATTTTTTTTAATAACATCAACAGTGCTTCCACAACAAATGGTACAGCTTGCAAAGGTCTTTCCAAAACACTTTCTCTGACTTTCCAAAAGTGCAAACTGTATTGTTATAGCATTGACTTTCTCCCTTGCTTGTCTCCATTTCCCCTCTCTTGGACTGTGAGGCTCTCAGGGGCATGTTCTGTCCTCTGTTGCACCAGAATACTTAGGATGGTCCTTTGCACACACTGAGAGCTCCAGCAACACTGAAGAAATGGACAAACAAGTGGAATGCAGACCCAAGCCCAAGCAGAATCAGACCGCAGGGAGCTGCAGCGTTACCTGGGCAATGATATCTCCATTTTCAGCATGAACTTGGGCAATGGCTCCCAGCTCTCCCAGGCAGCTGAAGATCTCATAGAGCTGAAACAGAAATGAGCACTTGTCACCTTAACAAGCTAACGAAAGGGTCAATGGCTATCCAGGGTTAAAACCAAACAGGATAAAATGAGGAAACTGCCTAGTGAGGCAATATGGACCAAAAGAAGTATGAGCCTAGTGGAACTCTAGAAAACTCTTGTCTTTATAAAAAACCTAGAAGGTCTACAGTGAGCTCTGATAGCACAGTGCTAAGAATCTGTGCTATAATTTAAAATGCAGCATGGACTGCACGGGTATCAGTGATTACTCTAGCCCAAGATTCTCCCCGTATGACCATATGATCCACGTAAAAAAAAAATCTTAGGTCATTAGCAGAAAAAACCCAAAAACAAAACAAGAAAACTCACCCAGCTACCCAAATTACAGCAAACAGAAGTTTACCTCTGTGTTGGATACTTGATACAAATCCTTATAGGCCATGTAAACCATGAAAGAGTTAACCCCTGTAAGGGAGAGAAGCATTAGAAAGAAAGAAGAGACAAGACATCATCACAACCAGGCTTCCCACTTTGTACCCACTTCCCTCACCAAGGAGATCAACTGTAAATAGACCCTTGTCCCTTGCAATATGGACATCTTTCCTCACATCCTGCAAGAGAATTTTGTGTATGTGTCCAGCTCCTTCCCCTCCCTCTTGCAAAATAAACAAATCCTAGGAGCTCTGGTGGCCAAGAGGTAAGAATTTGCACTAGCCACCCAAAGTCAGCAATTTCAAAGCCACCAGTGTCTATAAGGGAGATGATGAGTTGTCTTCTCTCATGTGATTTAGAGCCTCTGAAAGACAACTTCAGGGTCAGCTATGAATTTGTTCTCAATGGCAATGAGTTTAAATTTTTGAAGAATCCTCCGGGGATTAGTTTATACAACTATTTGATAAAAGCCTATATCATACTGGCAAAGGTAGCGGGTCACAGAAATAAAGAAAGAGCCTCAACAAGACGGACTGATATAGTGACTGTAAAATGAACTCAAGCATATCAGAGACCAAGAGGATCCTCCATCTATCTCTGCTAGTTCCCCAAGGCAAAGTCTATCTTAGTTTTCTCTGATCGAACACCCCAACACAGGCCTACTGTATGCTGTTTCTGTTATATGCCACTGAGTTAACTGACTGAATTATGTCTCCCCAAAACATGTGCTATAAACATTAACCCATCTGTTGTTGATACATTGACATATCTGTTGTTGGTTTCAACTCAAGGGCATATAACAACACACCTGCTGTTAAGGAACTCTGGTGGTGCAGTGTTTAAGAATGCGGCTGTTAACCAGAAAGTCAGTGGTTCAAATCTACCAAGAAGAAAAATGGAGGAGTCGCCATCCACAAAGAGTTCAGCCCTGGAAAGCTTATTATACTCTCTAGTAACAGGGTTCAATGAGTTGGCATTGACTTAGTGCCAGTGGATTTTATAGATTTGGTACATCTGTGTTATGATCACACTTGGTTTTCTTTGTTAAAATAATGAGACATAAGTCAATTTTTTTTTAAATTTATAAGTATATTAGGCAAGCAGCAAAGCATTACTGGCGGGAGCGGGGGACGGGGACAAATGTCACATCACAAGAAGATCACCAAAGAACAGAAGGTCAAAGAGGCCGAGAGCAGAGGGAAAGGGAAAATGTTAGCCTAGAGTCAGGACCCTGAACTGCGATCTTGAACTTCCTGGCTGTGCTACCCAACATGGTATTTCTGATAGAGCAGTACTAAATAATTAAGGAGAGAGCTCTGCTGGCCTAGTGGTAAGAAGCTGTGCTACAAATCCCAAAGGCACAGAGTTTGAATCCACTAGCTGTTCCACAGGAGAAGGATGGGCAATCAATCACCCGTCTTGCAAGTAACTGCTCTGAAAACCTACTGGAGGTTCAGCTATGAGTAGGTTCTAAGTAGATGGCATACAATAATAATAAGATGACTAAGGCAGAAAATAAGTTTCACTTAAGGTCTAGATGAATCCCTGAAACTACTGCCCTGAGAGAGTCTTTAAACTTGAGCCAAAAATTTCCCCTGAAGTCCTCTTAAAAATAAAAGTTTATCTTAACTAGTAAAGGATGGCTGCCTCTGGCATTATGCTCTTTTAAGATTTATCTAAATGGGTTTTCAGAGGCAGCTAATCACACAGGAGACTGTCCATCCTCCTCCAGTGGAGCAGCTGGTGGATTTGAACTGTGTGCCATTGAGATTGCAGCATAGCTTCTTACCACGAGGTCACCAGAGCTCTTTAAAGATTTATCTATATGGGATCAAAACTACAACAATTCAAAAGATTAGATAAAATCATTAGAGGCGGTGTATGTTAATTAGGTAGGGAAAGTGAGAATGGTTATACAACTTAGAGCATATAATCAATACCCCTGAGTTATATGAAGAAACAGTTGAATTGGCTTCTGCTTTTCTGTGTAAATCTTCACTATCAACAACAAAAAGTAATAATTTAAAAAACAAAACATCCTGTGGAACACAGCTCCACTGTGACATATTTAGGGTCACAAAGAGTTGGAATTAACTCAACAATGACTGTTGTTTTGGTATTTTTTTCCCCACTAAGTGTTATAAAGAAAGAGCTATTGAATGCTGACCCAAAATAAACTTGTTAATACAGTGATTTACAAAAATATGTAGGAACAGTGAACAGATCATTTTTGGGAAAAATAGACCATTTTGGTCTCCAACCACTAGGACCATCTCAGCCTACAGAGTCCCAGGCCAAAAGTGGGTTGTAATTTAAGAACTTCCCTATCCAGAGTGGTTCAGCTCAGGCCAATTTTCTCAACATTCCCTTCCCACAAGCCTCTGTGTCATCCATGGAATGACCTTTTGGGCAGAGAAATTGCTGTTGAAGTCATTTACTTATCTTTTCCTGTGGTGAAGCCCAGTGTAAAAGGAGACCCAAGAAGTGAAGAAGCTAATCTCACGTTGTGCATCATGAAGGTACCGGTCTGGGCAGGGCTTCCAGCATAAGGATGGGAGGAAGGAAGTGGAATCTCATCCACTGAAAGATGTTCTTTATCCCTTCAACTCAGAGCAAGCTCCTCTCTTCCCTTAGATCTTAACATTTATTTCTAGCCTACTCTTGATAACACAGAGCTCTAATGGCTAAGACATAAGGAGTTTCATTCACTACCAATCCAAAGATAGGAAGTTAGAATCCACCAACTTCTCAGTGGGAGAAAGATGGACAATCTTCTTACATATGACTTATTACCTCTCAAAACCCACTAGAGGTTCAACTCTGAGTTGGTTCTGAGTCTACAGTACATAACACCAACTGATAACACCGCCAACTGATAACAGTTCTTATGCATTTTACATTTGTTAGCTCCACATTGTCCTGCTTTCCTTTGCTTGAATGCTTGAATGAGGCATGGCATACACTTTCTAATGGTTCCTAGGCCCCCCTTACGATGTTGAGTATGTTTCATGCATATGTATATATATGACAAGGAGTAAGTAGTGATCTGATCAAAAAGTGGAATACATTAGAGCATTAGACCCTAAGAAAACAATGGGAACCCAGGTCACACTCTCACCAAAAGGGTAGCCACACATGTATGCCTTGTTCTCATGCTCCCTGCTCCTAGCCTGCATACCAACAAAATTCTTGCTTCCAAAGCACTTTTGATCTTTTTCTGAGAGTGTCATTATTTTGATCTTTGGTATAAAAATAACAGGAGTTTAAAAATTTTAATTCCATATTTTCTATCATGTGACTTTATGCTAGCTCCATGAGCCTCTCTTAACCTCAGTTTCTGCCTCGGTAAAAGGGATGGTATCTCAGGGAAGCAAAGACTAGATAGAGACTCTGGATAGACCTATTGCTTATAACCTTTCTAACGTTGGGTGGGTTATTTTAAGGCTTAAGTTGGGTCCTCTCCAAAGTACTGAAGAGCAATGGTGTCTTTCTGGAGATCAAGGTGCATCTGATATAGGCCATGGTCTTTGCAATCACTTGTTAAGCATCAGAGAGTTGGACAATGACCAAGGAAGGCAGAATGAGAATTGATGCCTTTGAGCTGTGGTGCTGGAGAAGAGTATTGAGAGTACCATGGACGGCTAGGAAAACAAATAGATTCATCCTGGAAACCAGGTGGCTCTTTGGAGGCAAGGATTCTGAGGCTCCGTCTAACATACTTTGGTCATGTTGTAAGAAGAGACCGGTCCTTGGAGAAGGACATCATGCTTGGGAGGGTGGAGGGACAGCGCAGGAGGGGAAGGCCTCTATGAGGTGGATTGATTCGGTGACTCGGGTTATCGAGATGGGAGTGTCAGAGACAGTGCGATTGGCACAGGACAGAGCAGAGTTTAGGGCTGTTGTACATAGGGTCGCTATGAGTCGCAAGCGACTCGACGGCACATAACAACAACAACAACAAGTTCTCCATCTAAAAAGGAAGGGATAACAACTCCTATCTCATGGGAGTCCTATGAGGAATAGGTGGTGGTGGTTGTTGTTGTTGTTGTAAGGTGCTGTCAAGTCGAATACGACTCATAGCGACCCTATGAACAAGTCTGAATCCTGTTCTATCCTGTGCCATCCTCACACTTTCTAGCACACTAGAGCCACTGAGGCAGTCACCATGTCAGTCCACCTGGTTTAGGGTCTTCTTCTCCTTTGCTGACCTTTCTGAGCATCATACACCTCTCCAAAGAATAGCCCCTCCTAGCGACATGCCCAAAGTATACGAGAAATAAGTAAGACCAAATAAATAAACACCAAGAGGCTGGAACATAATGGTGCCCATCTCACGCTCATGTTCAAGGTTCCCGGCCTCAACCAAGGGAAGAGACTCAAATGAGAGGATGTGTGGGAAGAGAAGCTAAGAGAAAAGTCAAGGAAAAAAGGCAGAGGGCATGCTGGAACTCACCTTTGTCTTTGATGAGGTTCTGAACTTCCTGCTTGACACTGTCATTCCAGTGGGTGATGTCCACGTGCAGGGCGTAGTCACAGCAACTCTTCCCATCAGCCCACTCTCGCCACTTCTCATAGGCCTCTGTCAGGCCAGACTCAGGCTCCGGCACCACGTGATCAACTGAAGGACAGGGGCAGAGAAGGGAGACATGCTTGCACTTACTTGGCTATGGATGGAAAATCCCCTCTCTCAAAGAATGAGAGGTGGTCTTAAAATGCATTCCCTGGCAGTTTCATGATTTAATACTTCTGAAGTACTTAATCTGGAGCAAACTACTTGCTTCTCTAAAGTTCTGTTATCCTTAAAATGAGCACTGAGTCAGAGATGGCCCACTGCGTAATACTACTTACCCTTTAAATTTAGTATAAATTTAAATGAGGAAATGCTTGTAAAGTACTTCGCTTGGCACATCTAAGTGTTCAGTAAAAATTAACTATCAAAGAATGCCTATTCTGCCACATTGCTGTTGTTTGATATTATTTCATCAATTCTGACTCATAGTGACTCCATGATGTACAAATTCCCCATAAGGTTTTCTTGGCTACAATCTATACAGCCTCTTGGTAGGTTCTCAGTTAGCAGTGAAGGTATATGCCACTAGGTCATCTTATTATGTTCTATGCTTATTAATATTATGGATAGTCATTGCTGGTGACATAAGTCGGACTTCCTTCTAAGCATGAGAGGAAGGGCCGTGAGTTTATGTTGGTGCACATGAGTTTTGCATTCTGGTGGGGGGCAGAAATGAACCGGACACACCTACAGGTCTTATTTCCATGTAACTCATTGTTGGCTGGAATCTGTAGAGGTTAGGTAGAGCACGACAAGGCTCAGATCTGTTTATAGGGTTGCTGAGTTGCATTCAACTAAATGGCACCCAAAGACAATAACAATAACAGGATCAAGTATCTTTGAGGCTAAAACCTGTCTACCTTTGAAGTATCCACAACCAGGAATACTTTTTTTTAACCATAATAAGTAACGTTGTTGCTGTTGATTACCATCAAGTTAGAACCGATCCATAGCTGACCCTTAAGAGGTAGTTAATCACAGAGGAGGAGATGACCCATCTTTCTCCTGAGGAACAGCTGATGGATTGCAGTGAAGCTTCTAATCACTAGGCAACCAGAGCTAGCGATGGGCATTGGGCAAAAAATTATTCTTGTATGTTCTCCTGGGCAGCTGAGGAGTACTGACTGGTACAGCCTGGCTGGGGTATGATTTTGAAATAGATATCAAAGATCTGGACAGTTGTAATACTTTTCACTCAGTGCTCCTATGTCTATGAATAATTCCTGAGGAAATAATGGCTGAAGGCAAACATCTCAGGATGTTAGGATGTTTGCCACTGCATTATTTATGTAAGTGCAAAACCAGAAACAGCTCAAGTTTTTCCCAGCATAGGAAGATTGGCTAAATACGTAAATCTTGACACTTTCATGAAATGGCCTGTTCGGCCTCTATTTAAAATGCTTCTTGGTTTTGTTGGGTGTTGTCAAATCAGTTCCAGCGACCCTCCGGACAACAGGATGTTACACCTTCCTATCCCATGCCATCCACAATGGCTGTCCTGGAGCCACTGTTGCAGCCACTGTATCTATTTTTAACAGTCATTATTTTTTGTTTCTTTCTACTTGACCAAGTATGATTTAAAATGCCAAGCCAGACTTAAGCTAAAAGTATGAAAAGATGTCCATAATGTAATAATTCTTAGATAAAATTACAGATTGAGTTACAGTACAGGTTCTGATCTTAACTGTCAGAAAAGAACATGCATGAAACAGCAAAACTGTACCAGTGATGTAGGTTGACATATTTTCTTTCTTTCATTTCTGTATGTTGATGTAGAGAGGAACAGTGAAAAAGAGGAAAAAACCCCCATGGACTGACACATTGCTTTTCAAGGGGCTCAAGCCCAGAGCTATTATGAGGCTGACACAGGGCCGGGGTGTGTTTTGTTCTATTGTGTCACTATGTTTCCTGTCATCACTGAAGACACCCAAGAACAACTACAACAAGATGTGTGTGACTAGGACTTCTGGATTGTCAACCGAGGAGATGAGATGCCTGCTTCTATGGTTCTTTGTATGATCTGCTGTCTTATCACCTACAACTTTGGCTTTTCTCTGGCCCTTTCCCTAATGCAGAAGACCAAACAGCTCACACCTGTCTCCAGGACGCTGAGTAGATACAACTCCTCTCTCAGCAGGCAGAAAGGCAAGCTACAATCACTCACTTCCTCAGTCTTCTATCAAAGGCGGCCTGAGTGCACTTACTGGAGGGAAAAAAATGCATGCTGCTACATTATGAATGTCTGGAGCCACACCAAGGGCCTTCCCGAGCAGGCAGTGCTGAGAAGTCAGCTGTCTCCTCCCTTCAGCTGCAGAAAAGCTTTGGTCTCCCTGAATCGCACCTTTCAAGGCCTTGATGCAATTTTCCTGTGTTCCCTTACCCAGCTAGCTGAGACTGAACCCATCCTGTGTTCCCGTCAAAAGGAAGTTAGACAGTGAATAATGCAGCTCCGGCTGTTCTGTGCTCTTGGGTGGATGTATATGGTGTTAAAATAAACCATGCTCCAGCTGCCCAAGTTTGAGGTCATAGCTGAGATAGAACCCAATTCATCAAGGCACCACTGTAACAGGAAGTCTGCCCTGGAATGAGGGGCAATCTAATGGTAAGCAACTCCTTAGGTCTCTTTGGAACTGCAATGCTATCAGAAAAGAAAATGATTTCAAAGTAAAATCATCCTCATAGCAAACTTGTCAGAGACACAGTTGCGGCCAGTTAACACTAAATGCCCATGTCAAGTGCAGGAGGATTCATAGCAATCTTGTGAACAACAGATCTACACCCTGCCCTATCCTGTGTCAACTTCACAATCTTTGACACACTCAAGCCCATTGCTGCAGTCACTGTGTCAAGTCACCTGGTTGAGGCTCTTCTTCTTCTTCACTGTTCTTCACCTTCTCAAGCATGATGTTCTTCTCAAAGAAATAGCCTTTCCTAATAAAATTTCCAAAGGATGTGAGATGAAGCTTCACCATCCTGGCCTCCAAGGAGCACTCTGGCTGCACCTTCTTCAAGACATATTTGTTTGCTCTTTTGGCAGTCCATTCAGTACTCCTCTTCAACATCACAGTTCAAAAGCAACACTTTTTCATCTGTTGTCTTTATTCATTGTCCAGCATCTGGCAGCACAGAAAGTGATCAAAAAAACCATGGCCTGAATCAAACACACCTTAGTCCTCAAACTGACATCATTACTCCTCAATAATTTGGAAAGGCCCCATAACTGCAGTTTCCCAGTGCAATATGTCTCCTGATTTCCTGTCTGCTGGTGCAAGGATGTTGATTGTAGATCCAAGTACAATGAAGTTGTTGACAATTTTAATCTTTTCTCCATCAATCATGACATGATGCTTGCTGCCTGTTGGTCTAGTGTTAAGAATCTTTGTTTTCTTAATATTCAGATGCTATCCATATTAAAAGCTATATTCTTTGATCTTCTACAACAAATGCTTTCAGCAAGCAAGGTTGTGCCATCTGCATAATGCAGGTTATTGATGGGTCTCCCTCTCATCCTGATGCCACATTCCTCTTCATAGAGTTCAGCTTCTCAAGTAATTTGCTAGGCATACAGATTAAATAGGTAAGAAAGAGGATACAATGCTGATACATTCCCTTCTTAATTTTAAACCATATAGTGCTCCCTTGCTCTGTTCACACAACAGCTTCCTGGTCTAGGTATAGTATTCCCACTGTTGTTGTGGATTGCCATCGAGTCAAGCACAACCCATAGTGACTCTACAAACAAAAATCCTGATGCCTTTCTATAACTATCACTGCTTCTCCAAGTTTATAGAGTTTCCATAAGCATCTGGTTTAGGAAGTGGATGCCACTACTGCTTCCAAATCTGCCTTATACTGGGCACTTCACCAAACACTGTCCACCATGGGCAACTGTTATGGCATCTGACACCCCATTGGCTGAAGGTTCGGCATCATAGCAAACCCAGATTATTTCAGTACAGCAAATTGACAGAAGAGTGAGGTAAAACTTAGAATATTCCACCAAAATATAACACTAGTCTCACTTAGCAATGGTTAAGTGCCATCAAGTTGAATACAACTCATAGCAATCCTATAAACAAAAGCCAGAACCCTCTTCTATAACTAACATAATTTCCTCTATGTTCATAAAGTTTTCAGACACCCCCTCCACCACTCTGCCGGTATTCTCTGTCCTTTTTTCCTAAGACCACAAGCTAGCAGTTTCAGAATAATTTTTCACTTGCATTTAATTGTGTGTGTGTGTGTGTGTGTGTGTGTGTGTGTGTGTGTGTGTGTCTACTTTCCCAGTGACTGGCCTAGAGACAATCTTACCTGTTGTTAAGGCCATCAAAAGAAGCTGCTGCTTTCAAAACCAGGAAGCCTGTAGACTCTCCTTTCTTTATCTGTAGTGTCCATTTCCTCATTGTTACTTTCTTTTCTTGACACCTCATCTATCAAACAGTACTGTCGTGGAACCCTGTGCATTGTGTGTTGAATATTATATCAGCATTATTCAAATACCTGGAGGCCCACTCATGGGAATAGATTTCAAAGAAGCAGCTTGCAGATTAAATCAGAGAAGGAGGAAAGATCTGCAAATTAGCTAATGAAAGCCTTGCGTGTCACAATAGAATACTGTCCAACAAAGTGCTGAAGAGGAGTCTCCTGGGTTGGAAGGCTACACAATGACTACAACAATGGACGCATATGTGTCAATGCTCCTGGAGATGGAACAGAACTAGCCAGGTTGTGTTATGCTGGACAAAGGTGCTGCCACCAATTAGAGCCAACTCAATGACGACTGATAACACCTCCTCTTTACTTTCCCAGACACCTCAGGCAGAACGTCTACAACGCTGGGATTAGGAAAATTCACAGATTATTAAAGGAGCTCTGGTGGCGCAGGTTGTAGGAAGCTGAGCTGCAAACTCAAGAGCAGCATGCCCCCTGGCGTTACAAATCCACCAGGGACTCTGAAGGGGAATCGCAATCTCCTTCCATGTGACTTACAGCTTCCAAAGGCGACAGCAGTGAGAATAGCAGACAGATTATCACAAGGAACTCCGGTGACACAGTGAATGAGCAGCCAGCTGCTCAGTAAACAGCACTGTGGACCCATCAGACACAGTACGGAAGAAAGATGTGGTAGTCGGCTTCCTTAAAATTGCCGCTTTGTGTGTTAGGTGTATTTACAATGATAACAAGACACACACAACAATAACATAGAGAATAGCTGCTGAGCTGCTTGTGGACAACCAAAAACCTCCTGCAATTTGGTTTCTTGGCTTGGAGGTTTAGCGTCTTGATTTCATGGGACATCCTACTTAATTGGCCTAATATGTCCAGTGCTTCTCTCTCTCTACCTCTTCATGTTTCAAGAGAGTTATGGTGTCCTAGTGGGTAAGGAGTTGTACTGTCAACCCTACGGTATGTGGTTTGAATCCACCAGTTGCTCTGAGGGAGTAAGATGGGCAATCTCCTCCTGTGCGATTTACAGCCTCTGGAGGGTCAGCTATGAGTCGGTTCTGATTCATAACAACAGTTATTCATGTTGTGTCGTGAGGTCTTAAATGCTTGTAAGCACCCAGCCAAAGCATAACAATTGCTCTGTAGAAGGAGAAGAGTTAATAAAAGAAGGAGGATCTGGAAAGAATGGCTAATTGTGTCCGGACACAACTGCTTCCTTTGCCAGAAGAGCTGGGTGCTGCCTAGCTACCATTACTGAACATTCTAGTCAAAGGTTCCTTAGAAGAATATTGATCAAAGGGGTAGGAAGAATTCAAAATATATTTCTAAATTCTCATGAGTTCCAGACTTCTTGGAGCCATTAAAGTTAGTTGAACCAAAATTATTCCTTGAAGATTTCTTAAAACTAAACAGTATTATGATTTAAATTAGTGGGGGTGGGAGGGTTGGGAGGAAGTCTTTCTGGAGCATTATGCTGGCTGGGTAAAAAAAAAACTATAGGGAATCAAAGTGACAAAAAACAGCTAAGAAGATTAGACAGAAATATCAAAGGACATTTATGTTCATTGAAGAGGAAAATGCTAAAAAGGGGGTGAAGATGGCTGCAAAACTTGAATGCAATCAACATCACTAAATGGTACATGAAGAAACTAAAGAATTAATGTATGCTTTGATGTATATATTCTCAACAACAATGTTTTTAAAATATTTATAATGATTTCAACTTGAGAAATTCTATGGGGCACTTCTATGTTGTCATATAAGGTCACTACAAATCAGAATTGACTCAACAGCAACAAGTTTGCAAGTTATCATCCGAAAACAACATGATGAACACATCAAGCGTATGCTTCTTGGGAGCCTGCTGGTGTCAATCTGCAGACTTACTGATCATGGTGGTGCCACCTGCTAAGGCAGCCTTTGTCCCTTGGAAGAAGTCATCCACTGTGGTCATTCCCTTATACGGCATCTGGAAATGAGTGTGGACATCAATGCCTCCTGGGATCACCATCTTCCCATTTGCCTCGATGGTCTTCACTCCCCCAGGGACAATCAGATTGTCTCCAATTTGCCTGGTGAGACAGTGAAACAAATGGTCATTTAAAAGAAGAACATCCAAAATATACATAGGTAAACCTTTCAGACACTGAAATTTAAATTTATCAAAGTGATTTTTTGCAAATAACAAAGATGTTTGGCAGCTTAGAAGCAAATAAAGGCATGTATAGATAAAGAGAAGCTGTTCAGGGGTATAAATGGTTAACATGCTTTATACTGTTTACCAAAAGATGGGCGGTTAAAGCTTTCCTAGAGATGTTTCAGCAGAATACTTGGTACAAAAACAAAAAGAAAAATTTTCTTGGTGATTTACTTTAAAAAGCAGCCACTGCAGACCATATACACACAGCTTGTTTCTTCTCTGATACATTTAAGGTTGGCAAGAGTCAGACTCAACTTGATGACAATTGGTATGTTGTTGTTGTTGTTACTGTTAAGTGCTGTTGAGGCATAGATGACTCATAGCAACCCTCTGAACGAAAGACCTGAACACTTGTATAACTTTCATAATTTCTCCAAGTTCAAAGAGTTTCTGGAGACAAATCATTTCGGAAGTGGATGCCACTCCTGCTTCCAAACTAGTTTTAATTGGGGAGCTCCACCAAATAGTGTCCACCATGGGTAACCACTATCACATTTGACAATTAGTATAAATACAGAAAATATTTTTTGTGGTTACAGAGCAACCTAAGAGATTGATGATGTATATCTGATTAAGCCTTATAATCCTTTGAAGTGTATAAGATATAATGAGCATAACAATTACTTGTTGAACAACTAAGGTTTTGTATTTTTCTCTTTTATTTTTGTTTTATGCTTAAAGGTGATACTTGGAGAGGAATCTAAAGAGCATGTTAGGAGAGACTGAACTCATTTAAAGAACAAATATGGAATTGTGGTTATCCCATAAGTGGGTTCATCTAATCCAAAGGAATTTGAGTCATTTCCTGCTTCTGTCTTAACTCCCAATTCCCCCCTTTAGTGCTCATTTTTCAGTCATAGCTGGGGGCAGATTTGCAAGGGAAAAGTCAAAGGAACAAATTTCTCCAACACTAGCTGAGTATCTAGCATCGCAATGTAGAAACTTCAAGCCAAGGTGATTATAACAACCTCTTTCAGGGCAGCTTTGTCCAGGAAGCTTTAGAGCATCCCAGGGAAGAACAGAAAATGAGACTCAGGTGGACAGCAAGCCAGTGAGTACTCCAAGAGCACATCACACACAAAAAAGGATAAACAACTGTTCCACATACAAAGGTACTTTGTAGACAGTCCAGAGCTGCTTGGCTTACATATGATTTAATAGCCTTAATTATATAGCTGGTTAAAGCTACCCAATACAGATTACAGGTAGATTTATGATCCCCAAGCCAACAGATGCAGGTGCTTTTACATAAATCATTAAGCACCTCCTCCATAAGAGTGAAGACATTGATGTTTCAGTAGTAAATTCTTGTTTTCCATGCAGTAGCATTGTTATTATGTGCTGTCTAGTCACCTGCAACTCATCGGGACCCTTTGTACAGTAGCTCTGGAGCTTGCCCTATCCTGAGCTAGTGTCACTGACTCCGACATATCTACCCTGCATTGCCCCATTTACTGTATCAATCCATCCCATCTGGGCTTTTCCTCTACTGGGCTGTCCCTCTACTCTTCCAAGTATGATGTTCTTTCTGGCCATGTACACAACATGTGTGAGACAGGCCTTCAAAATCCTAGCCTCCAGAGAGAAACGTGGTTTCACCTTCTCCAGGTCAGACCTATTTGTTTTCCTGGCAGTCCATGGTATGTTCAAGACTCTTCTCCAGCACCACAACTCAAAGGCATTGATTCTTCTGTCATCCTTAGTCACTGTCCAGCTCTCTGATGCATAACAAATAATTGAGAAGACCATGGCCTGAATCACGCACACCTTAGTCTCTAGACTGGCAGAATTGCTTCTTAGTAACTAGAGAGATTCCTGAAAGAAGGCCAAGGTTCAATTCCTGACCAATAAGGCATATGTAGCAATCACCTTTCAGTAGAGGCTTGTTGTGTTCCTGTGATGTTTCAGTAGAGCTTCCACATCAAGAGGGACTAAGAAAGGCCCACTGATCTATTTCCAAAAGCCAGTCAATTAAAAACCCATGTATCACAATGGTTCCATTCACAAATCATCACGGGGATGGCACAGGATCAGGCAACATTTTATTTCGTGGTGCATGGGATCGTGGCCTGACAGCTAACAACGTGAAGGCAGCAAACAACAGGGCTTTGTGAATACATGTCAGTGGCATGAATACTTTCCCCTTTTGCTTATGGCCAGCCAGGAAAGACATTAAGAAGTTGGCAGCGAAACATTTACTACTGGACTGCCAAGCTCTAGGTTCTGCAACTAAAATCAAGTATCCCTAACATCTTTGTCTTGACCACATCACTATTGGGCCATTCCAGGTGAAAAAAGAGAATGCAGCCTCTGATCTTAACTCCATCCTAGATATCCAGACACTGACAAGTTCCCTTCCCAGTTTCCTCTCTCACTTCTTTTCCTCAAAAGAAAATAAGAGAACTATATAGGGAGCTCTGAGGGTCTAGTGGCACAAAGCTGTGCTGCAATCCTGAAGGCATGCGCTGCAAGTCCACCAGCTACTCTGCTGGAGAGGGATGAACAATCTCCTTCTGAGCAAATATATGCCTCTAAAAAGCCGCCAGAGGTCAGCTACAAGTCAGTTTTAACTCGATAGTACACAACAACCATATGGTGCCCTCGTGGTAAGAACCTGTGTTGCAATCCCAAAGTCACATGGTTCAGATCCACTAGGAGCTTCACTAGAGAAGACTGGACAATCTCTCCCTATAAAAGCCTATAAAAGCCTCCTAGAGGGTCAGGTTTGCATCAGTTCTGACTCGACACACAGCAACCACCACAATGGACAGGAGGAGTTGCTTGTCTTTGTAGTATCCTAAATGACAACACATATCATGGCTCCATATCTAAAATAGAAATGCATTCTCCCTTTTCATATTTTTCTCCTTTTCATTCAAGATATCATATTATTAAAAGTCCAGCTTCAATTTTACTTCTTTTGTCAAATTTCTAGACAGGTAGATCTAATAGCTAGGAGTGCAACTTAATCCTGCCTGCAGGTTATCTAGATTTACAAGCTTTCTCTACCACTTGCCATGTGTCTCTGGCCAAGTCATTTAACCTTCCACGCTGCAATTATTTTACTGTTAATGTGTATTAAAAACATTTCCTCCATAGGGTGGTTGCATTTATACATGCTGAGTGCAAAGAATACCACCAGGCATTTAAGAACCCAATAAGCACCAGCTATGTAACTGATGGTCACCCCCTTCCTCCTATGAATCTCAGCTTTTATTACCTCCTTCTGTACATTAACTGTCTCTGAAAACCCACCCCAGAGGGTCAGCTCTGAGTCAGTTCTGACTCGACGCACACACAAAACAGTAACTAGCAATTTAATATTTGTTACTGACACGACTTGGTGATGATAGGTCCTTTGTGTATTTACAGGTATCTCAGCGTCCTGAAAAAAGGCTGCCACGTCTCGTGGGCAGTGCACAGGGTGATTTAGGCACAACAGCATCTGTCCAAGAGCACTGGCAAACTTCCTTGCTAATAGACAACACTCTATCATGCTCACATGCAGGTGAACAATTATGTAGAAGTTGGAGGAGGTTATTCCATTTTTTTCTGCTCTATGAGCTAAGAATGTTCTTGGATATATACAAAAAGGTCTGGAAGGAGATCATGCTTATCCAGACTTGTCCTTCATCAACATAAATATACCTGATGGCTAAATTCCTTCTATAATATCCTTGGCAAGTAGCCTTCCTAGTTATTTAAAAAGAAACAACAAAAGACATTTTAAGCAGTCAGCTTCCACAGTGAATGCCTAAAGCACTTATACAAAGACAGAAGGACTCCCAGCCTGCATTTAAGGCTCCATTGTAAAAGTCCTGTGATCAATCAGCATGTCTGCCATGAGCTCCAAAAGAGGAAAGGAGCATAAGAGACTTAATTTTTTTCTCCCATCTCTAAAAATCTCTAAATGAGGGAACTTGCTCTCTCAAAAGATAGTAACGATGTATAGTATTTTAGCAATAGAAAAAAAAATTATCATTTTTGTTTTGAAGAAGTTAATGTTTTAATTGGGTTAACTGCTTTGCTACTTTTATCCTTCTAATTGGAAGTAACAATGAAATTAATCAGTAAAGCATATGAATGTTAGTATTTTGACTCTTACACTGTTTTTTCAATCATTTAACATATGATTAACAAGCTGGCCTTTATCACATTACTTATCTTCTTTGCATCTTTGTTTTTTCATTTGAGAAAAGAGGTTAAAAATAAAACTTCATAGTAGTGATGGCCAATTACATGAGAAAAGGCAAGAAAAGCACAGTAATCTTGCTTGGCACACACTCCATACTCTACACAAGATGTTATTGCCTGGTACTGTTGAAGCAATTCTGACTCATGGAGAGTTCATGCATTACACAGCAAAACTTCTCTATATGGGTTTTTTTTTCCTTCTGTTTTGTTTTGGAGATTTTTGGCTATAATATTTATTAATAAAAGACTGTCAGGCCTTTTATTCTTTCTGGCCACTGAGGCATTTGAACACCAAGTTTTTAGCTACCATTCAAGTAAAAATCTTTTGCATCACATAGGACTTCAATTAAGTTTAACTCTTATGTGTATCTGTACCTAATAATACATTAAGTGCTGCAGGTAAGGAGATCGATAAAGCATGATCTTGGCTCTCAGAGGTTCTTAAGACTGCTGTATGCAGCAAAATACAGGTTGTTTTGAGAGCATATAGAAGGCAAAGTCAATTCTAGGTGAGGCCTCATCAAGGCAAATTCCCTACAGGAAGTTATAATCAAGTTGTTCAAAAACAAGAAAGAGACCTCTTATGACCAGAATCTTCCTAGCAGTCAATGCAGCTGAATGTAGGCTGTGGAGGGATTTCAATCTGTTCTACGAGGACTGCCAAGAATCAACAGCATCTTACAACACAACAACAAGGCAGTTGAATAATAAAAAAGATATAACTGAATGAGTCTAGAGATGGCTAACAGGATGGGTTGAATTCCCAGCCTAATACACTATCCTTTTGGTGCTTTAGTATGATGTTTTGCATAATAAAAGATTATGTGCAAACTAAATTTTCTATGGTGGCCTAGTAGTAAGAAGCAATCGCAAAGGCACGTGGTTTGGATTCACCAGCTGGTCCTTAGGAGAAGGATGGGCAATCTCCCCCTGTGTGATTAACTGCCTCTGAAAAGTTGCTGGAAGGTCAGCTGTGGGTTAGTTTCAATTCGACAGCACACACCACCACCACCCTCTTTTCAAAGTGAAAAGAAAGAAGCATAAAGAGAGCAAGTGTCTTGCTAAAGGCCAACATGGTAGGAATGAATGAATGGACAAAGTTAGAGTGAAAATATTGATTAAATTCCCTATAAAGTTCCCTGTATTAGAAACCTGTATATAAATTATATCTGGCTGTGTTGTCTATACTCAGTTGATTAAAAAAAATCCCTTTGCAAAGTAATTTACATTCTTAAATATCCAAGTTAAAATCATGTAAAAAAATGTATGCTCTGTCTTTATTCTGCCCATCTAAATCTTTTTGTCGAGGTTCAGTCAAAACTCTACCATTTGAAGGCACTTCTACATCTTGTACGCTTCTTAATCATCTAATTCTGCTCTTTTGTTACCTACGATATAATCTTCTAATTTTCCATTGCTGAGTCTATAGGAGGTGCAAGCTTTAAAGGAACCAATGTGCTAGTCTTCTAACCCAAAGTTCAGAGGTTCAAATATACCCAAAGGCACCTTTGAAGAAAGATAATGGAAATCTCTCTTGGGAAAATCAGCCACTGAAAATTCACTGGAGCACAATTGTCCTGTCACTCACAAGTAGTCACAGAGTCTTCTGTGGCACTGCTGAATGAGTTTCAACTGCTAACCTTTTCGTCACTAGCCAAGTACAAACTATTTGTGTCACACAGGAATCTCAAAAGTCAGCCCACTGGCAACTAGCTTTATAATCTGAATACACTTTTCAGTATCCTCAAGTACAGTCCATCAGTGGCCTGACAGTCTATTTTTTTTTTTTTTGGTGTGAGTGTACCGTCAAATCAGATCTGACTGGTACAGGAGGAGACTGTCCCTCCTTTTCCCGGCAGAGCATCTGGTAGATTTGAACCGTGTGCCTCTGGGATTGTAGTTGCAGCTCCTTGCCACTAGGCCACCAGAGCTCCCCTAACAGTCTTTTATTAATAAATATTATAGCACAATTGAGCCCTCAAAACATCATTCAGTTGATTAAATTCAGCTTTAGTTACTCCATTCAAGTGGTTATAAATAAGGTTCGCCTCCACTTTTAAGGGATTATGGTGATTTATAGACTAAAATAGTGATTTCATAGAGAAATGGAAATGAAACACAGGGAACTGTCATAAGTTAAAAGGGTCAGGTTTCTTTCTGAGCCTCTAATATTGAAAAGAAGCCTGAAGAGATAAAAGGATGGTTTCTGCATACGTACTTTATCAAGCCATCTTCCATGTAAATATCGGCATAAAAGGATTGATCATCATTGACAATTCTGCCTCCTTTGATGAGAAGACGGTCACTCTAAAAAAGAAGGAAAATGTAAGTTATTTTCATAGCCAACACTTCAGAGAAGAGAGGTCCCTCAAAGTCTTCTAATTCATTGTACCAGAGGACTGGCTGAAACACATTTATTAAACACATCTGTGTACCCAGTACATCCAAGAGTTGAACCAGTTGTATTTGTTGGGATTCACTCTTGTTTCCTTTTTATTTAAATTACTCTGGAGTTTCCTCTTTTCCTTCTGCAACCTATTATAGCTGCTTGGAAACAAAACTATTGAGAAAACATATGTTCTTATTCTGTAAACACTATATGTTTTGAAAAGGACAACTCCATGGTTCTCAAAAATGGATTGAAAAGGACAACTCCATGGTTCTCAAAAATGGAAGTTGGGATCAGGTACACAATGAAGCAGTTCTACTTCTATTATTTTTATTATAATACTTGCTCAGATCATGTATTCCAAAAATCATAATACTTATACTTGCACTTAGACTTGCACACTTAATAATGGGACGTATAAGAAAGCCTCTAGATAAAAATAAGACTAAATATCCATAGTATTTAACCCAGGATACAGAAATTATGCAAGATTTATAGTTGCTTCACTATAGTAGTTCTTTCATTTTTGGAAGTGTCATTTATTACATTTAGTATGTTGTTGTGATGTGCAGTCGAGTTTCTTCTTACTGTGTACAACAGCCCTAAAACATTGCTCTATCTCTTGCCCACCTTACTCTGACAGTCTTATCCCCATTAGCCCAGTCATTGAATCAATCCATCTCATTGATGGTCTTCTTCTCCTGTGCTGTCCCTCCACCCTCCCAAGCATGACATTCTTCTGCAAGGATCGATCCCACTTGCAACATGCCCAAAATATGTGAGACAGAGCTTTGAGAAAAAAAAAATATATAAAACTATGGCTTGGACAAAATTTTAAGCAATACAATTACAATAAAAATGTTATTTAAATATGCACATGCACACCTATGTCACAAAGGCACACAAATGTCTCAGGAATTGTAGTGGCACAATGAGTTATATGCACACAGTGAGTTTCAGGAGGTCAGCAGGTAAACTGTTAAAGGAACTTGAGGTTGAATGAATAAATACTGTAACAAGCGTAGAGAGGTAGAGGCCAGTGTGAATTATGCAGTGCACTGTTCAGGGTGAATGTTCTCCATGTCTGTGTGACTGTGAGGATTAGTGGTCATTACACAGAGGTCAAGGGTAGATAGATTACATATTCAAGAGTAACAAGGATGGTCATTCATTCAAAGGTGATACTTTGCTCCATGTTCAAGAACTCTCACTTTCAAATAGACTTGGAGTCTTATGGAGAAGCCCCATAAACAGGCTTCTTCGGTCTTCAGAAATGTGAGCAAGGTCAGAATATGAATGTTTAGCCTCGGGCTCCAGGTGGGATATGGAAAATTACCACTGAGTTACTCCTGCTTCCAGGATATTGCATGAGAACAAGGGATTTCATCACGCCATATTGTCAAGGGAAAAGATTGTTAAAAGATACAAATGAAAGAGGCATTTATGGTAAAAAATTCCATGTATTCAGCAAAAAAGATGTGCTAATGAAGTACAACATAAATTCTCACAATGTGTGATAGGCAAGTATTTGATGACCTCTGCTGATCCATCCTCACTTCTATATGTTGCCTCTTCTTGTTGTTATTAGGTGCTGTAGAGTCCATTCTAACTCACAGAGACTCTCCTTAAAACAAAATCCTGCTGATCATGCACCATCCTCTCAGCCACTGCTCTGCTTGAATCCACTGGTGTAGCCACTTTATCGGGCTATTTCATAGAAAGTCATATTTTATACAGTGGAAAAACTAAGAAAGAAACTCTGGTGGCATAAGAATTAAAACACTTAGCTGCCAACAAAAGGTCAACAATCTGGTCCTTCAGTCACTCCACAACAGAAAATCTTCTTTTTTTTTTACCCAAAATCTTTGTAAGGGAAGAAAACAAAAATAGATTCACAAGCTTGGAAACACTATGCGGTTGTTGGACAGTACACCACAGAATCAAAAGCAACTCATAGTTGACCTTCAGCAGGCTTTCAGAGGCAGTAAGTCACACGGCAGGAGACTATCAGTCTTTCTCCCACAGAGCGGCTGGTATATTTGAACCCTGTGCCTCTGGTTTGATAGTGCAAGTTCTTATGATTAAGCCACTAGAGCTCCCTGGAAACACCATGGGGCAGCTCTTTCCTGTGCAACTGTGTTGCTATAAGCCAGAATCAACAGCAAGGCTGAAATAACCAAACATGTGGTTTCTCTCACTTATCAGGCTCCCTGGCCACAAGACGTTTGCAAAGATGGCCTCAGTATGCTCTCTCTATCATTCACCAGGCATCCAACAACTGTCTTCACCTTCAAGTCCCACTTGGAAAGGATTCTCTCCCCCAGGACACATAACATGGCTTTCTCGGCAAAGTTCACCTGCTCCCACTGTAATTTAGTTCCAACAATTGTTCTCGTTTATAATGGCTGCTTTGTCTCCTGAGTAGACCATAAACTTATTTAGTTTTGGAACTACATGTATTACGATCTTTTTACTCTAGTTCTTGGAACCCATTCTTTTAAATATTGGCCAAATGAACGGATAAAGTTGGGGCATATGAGGCTGGATTCTATTGCATGATGGAAAGTCCATGTGAGTTAAAAGAATATGTGGCTAAAAAAACCTGCACTTTTAAGGTAAAGAAATTGAAAACTATTTTAATCTACATAAAAGAATACTGAAAAATTCTATGAGGTGGTCTTTGGAGTATACAACCCAAACTAGTGTACATGAGAAAATATAGATTCCCTGGCTCCATTCTTGGTCACATGTCTATATATTTAATATGCTCCAAAGATGTTTCTTATGCAGTCATCCAGTACAATGCCACAGAACAGCACCAGGAACCACTGCCCAAGGGGTTAATGGCAATAATAATCCACACGATAGGTTCTTTCTCAAAATGTAACCCTTTTCAGAATTTTCCCCCCCAGCAAGTAACTGGACAGCGGTGTTTTGCAGACAGGAGCCAGTCCTGCCTGAACTGAGGCCAGATATGCAATATGAGCCCCCTCTTGTCTACGGCCCTCCAGCCCTCAGCTACTGGGTATAATTATCACTCCTTTCAACAAGCATCAAATGTCAGGAAAGGATCAACAGCTATCACAGGCTCTATGCACATCAGAGGGATACCAAGAGCTATCAAAATGGAATTATTGCTGTAGAAATGGTGTCACTGGAAGCTTTTCAAACTTTAATGAAATAAACCCTCTCTAGCTTAACAATCAGAAACCTTAAAGAAAACCTGAAGATGAACCACAGGCCTGGCACAGGGTTCATAGCAGAGAGCAACAAGACTTCTGCTCAATGGGCAAATAAGGATTCATTTTCTTACTGATTTTCATCATGCACAGCAGAGACTATAAATCTAAATCTATGGTTTTCAAACACATTCTTTCTCTAGGGGTCTTCAGTTTGTCCTCCCCAAACCACTGCATTAATTTTAACTCTTCCCATGCATGCGGTATGAACTATAAATAGAAGTCCATATAAATCACTCAACAGACACAGAAGGGTCTGTAAGGTAAGTCTCACGTGTGGCACTGAGGAATACTGAGTGTGGAATTGGACATAACCAGCGACCCCCCCCTCCCTAAGCCACATCAGAAGTCAGGTATCTCTGAACACACACATACATACACACTGCTAGGCTATAAATTCATGCAGCTGCCTTGTAAATTAACTTATGATAGGGTCAAAACCCAATATATGAGCAAAGTGTAGGTCTATGAATAAAAGTCACCTCCAGAGACAGGACTGGGGAATAGGGCTATGCAGGCTCTGTAAAGTTATGAAGTAACTGTTATCTAAGATAAGCCGTTAATTAAAATGTTAAAATAATCTAGGTTGGAGTTTACCAATCTATTTCTTATAATGATACAAGAATGACATTTTTTTAAATGATACAAATTATGACATTTTCTGAGTATACTAGGGTAGTACAGAATCCATAAAAGATCCAAAATGTAGATCCCAAAGCAACCAGCTAGAAACTCTGGCTACTTCCAACCCTGTGCTGCCACCAAGAGCTTCGAGCCTCACCATTTCAGGCTCAGCTGGGTACCAGGTGGCAAGCTTTGTTCAACTTGGTCATTAAACTACTGAGAAACTCAAGGGACCATTTAAATAAGCTCATTATCTTGAGTTAAATCTTAAACTCTTAGAACCTCAGTCTTTTCATTAGTCCAGTGTAGATAATAATACTCACAGTTCATCTCACACAGAGAGTTCTAAGAATAAAAGAAGTGGAAGGGTGGGGGAGTCTCTCTCTCTCTCTCTCTCTCTCACACACACACACAAAGTATCCAAAACATAATAGTTGTTGTTATTGTTGTTGTTAAGTGCCATCAAGTTGCAGGCGACTCATAGTGACCCTACGAAGGAGAGTCCTCGACACTTGGGTGCCTTTTATCCTCTCTCCAGATTCATAGGGTTTCCAGAGGCAAGCTATTATGGAAGTGGATGACACTCCTCCTTCCACGCTTATTTTAATTGGGGAGCTCCATGCCCAAATGCTGGGAAACTCCTTGCCCCGGACCCCCAGTTTATCTGGCAAGTCCGCTCTGTCAACCCCCACGGGGGCCAAAAGAACACCACACCACATGTGTCCTGAGCCCTCAAACCTACTGCGCCTCAAGAAGAAAACACAATAAGCACCTAATAAATATTAGCTGTATATATTTTCATTTTCTTATTTTCTTTTATTATACTAGTTTATTTACAAAATTTTAATACACTGTTTTCCAGAACAGATTTTTCCAATTTCCCTCACCCTCCCACCCATCAAATTGTTAAAGTATTTTTTATTACTCATTCAGGCTTACACATTTTTCTCCCTCTCCCCCTTTTAAGTACTACTCACTTTTATTAAGTTATATGCTGATGCTTACACTACATACTAGACTTATCTAGTTCATCAATACTGTTTATATTGCTTTCC